TTAATTTACCAAATTGCATATTTTTACAAAGTTTCGCAATCAACCGATCAATTATACAGGACCGTAATGAACACAAATATACCTAGCGTATTATTGTAGGTACTCTCATTACGAAATTTTACAAAAAAATAAAATGGCTACAGATTTGCACCAAATAAAAACATGGCAGCACAACATTCATTTACACGATATATCTACCTAAATTAGATGCAATAATACCCAAAATAATCACAGAATCGCATTAAAATTAATTATTAATACAGATAATATAAATTCAATATAACATTCTGAAAAATTGACATTCGAATGGAATCGGAATTGCTTACATTTTATAACAATCAGATATTTATTAGACACATCGATAATGACGTCCATAAACGATAAACTGATTTATAAAAATCCCTTTTTAACATTTACCGAAGAAAAGGTTGTATAGGCAATTAATAAAATCGAAAAACAGTTACCAACAGGCCTGTAATAATAAAGAGCATTTTATTTTAATTGTATTTTATTCATCGACACAATCAGGGGCATTTATTAGAGGACCGACGCAGCGGTGAGACTGCAAACAGAGCTGGTTTGGTCACAAGCCGGTGAACACGATCAGGGCGTCCGTATTACGCGAACGCCTCAATTCCGTTTTGTATACATGAATCATCGTTTTCATATTAAGTTTACTATTAACATTTCGAACTGACAAACGTAGCGCCCACAGTCTCCGTTGGCCGCGTATGGCCGACAGATGTGAAAATAAATTTGAGATATTCACAACCGACAGTTATCGGCGTACCTTAAAACAAACAAGCACTCGAAGATTTGCGGGAATAATAATTGGACCAAATAAGTCTATGGCACTTCGCTGTCGGTACTTGACCCGTTTGGGCGAATGGGTCGGGAAAATATACCGATGAGTTGAGCCGTATTTATTTCGATATGAACTCCCCGCGTGGCGAACGGTGTTGGCCCATTTTTGTGATACAAAAACCTTCGCCATCACGTTTCATGAGTCTAAAACCTCAATCATTACATAATTCATTGATCGTCTACAGCGATTTTGGGTTACCTACCACTCGTAGACTCATTTCACGTTCGACAAAACCTTGTGCCAGTTTTAATGCAGACGAAATAATCGATACTCATATAATAATGACTTTTCACAATATTCAAACGGTCTATAACCTTTTAGGGTTATTATAAATATCCAAAAACAAATAACGGTTGAATGCCGTAAGTGCACAGTAATAACAAGCTAGACGTGTTTTTCTCGATTTATTGACATTGAACAGTTTATCGACCTATCTGTGTGTGTATTCAATGTAGACATTTTACAAATGTTTGCACCTTACACCTTTGTCTTTATTATCTGCAATCATGAGATCGTCACCTGTTAGTACTGCGAAAATTATTTAAGTAAACAGATTAGGGAAAACAAGTCTATATATAAAAGAACGTTAAATTTCGGAACTAGTAATACCAAGTCCACTATTTAAAATTGATCCCAATCTACGGTAACACGCGTCGGCTGATGGAAGAAACTAGAAGCTTTCCAATGACTTCACACATACAATGTATGATAGGTCGCGATGCCAACATTCTGTAATTCACATCAAGATCGCAGTGACAATCCATTAACATACCTACTGTTTAGGTGAAAGGTATTGGCTGAACAAACTGAACTGTACAAAACTAGGTCTACAACTGGTGGATACGGCGTTAGTTTGGATACGGTCATCGTAATGAAGTTTGCGGACAAAGAAGTCTCTTCCCATTGCCAGCGCAACGGCTGCAACCGATTCGTTGGAAAACTATCTTTGACACTTCGCACGATAAGTCTAATTTCGTTGTCAGCCTCGGTCTAGATACTTTTATAGTCGACGTGTTGGAACAACTTCATTGAGGCTTGAATTTAGCTGAAATCGTGTCGTGTTCGGACCAAATAATGACCTTGATTGTATAACACAGTTCACGGTGTAAAGTATGTTATAAATCGAAGTTTAAAATATACAGGATGAGACCATTAGGCATTAGTAGACTTTATACTTAAGGCTATTTTTTGTGGGACTCATTATCTTATGCCGTATCTAAGATTCGCGCGATAAATTAGAGAATACGATGACACCACCGCAGAACTTATAATTCCAAATATTATCCGTAACCAAAGAAATGTGTTGAGCTTCTGAAAAAAACCCATAAAAATCATTTGTTGATAATCGATCTTCAAACTAGCGCGCCTTTTAGATTTAATAGAACAAAACGTCACAACCCACAGATAACGAATGTTTTTAATAAACGTTTTAAAATAAAAAGCAATAATAAAAGCCGTACAGCCTAAGTTTCAAACCGGGTGTCGGTGCCGCAAATCGGATGTATGTCTACCACGCGAGCGGTAATCTTGATCGGGCGTCGCGCGGTTTTTCCCACCAACGGAGGAAGCTTGGCGGCAAACCGGACCGGAGCGGCGACGTCATGAGATTTGGCGCAAAGCCTGTTCGTGGCCGCGAGACGAGGAAACGATCAAGCGCGCTAAACGTAGGCGCCGATCGTTGTTGTTCAGGATATTCGCACTTATCCTTCGAGCCAGTCTGCGCAGTCTATATTTAAACTACTTTCGCGAGTGCACTGGTTTGAAAAGTACGCTTGTAAAGTTAAATGTTTGGGTTCTATATGTGTGCTTACCAAATAGAACGAATAATTAAGATAAAAGCTTTGTGGCATGCAAACACTTTTTTACTGTTATTTTCACGATAAAAGTATATACAAAATCTAGATAAAGTTTTATTTAGAGATCAGTTTACGCCTCTGTTATTGGCTAAGTTAGTTTAAATGGCATGTTCGATCATACGTTAACGCAAAACGAAATTTGATAGTTATCGGCATTGCAACTGCGTCTAGCCTCGATTCGGTGACAGTACCTCCTATAGGTATGAATTAGAACTACATAAAACTGCACTATCTTGCACAAACGCCTTCATAAGGTTACGTCAACAACCACCTGGTTGAAATCAATCTGAATAACAAATAATCATAATTCTACAACGTTGTTTACTGTATATAGCAAACGCGACAGTATAAATTGCTTGTTTAAACATTAGCATAAAAGCATATTACCCCAAAGCTTTCAATGCGTCTATATTTTTTGTGTAATTTTATTCTAGAATGATAATAAGGGATGATGGCCATTACAATAACCGAAACACCACACGCTTCAATACGTATAATGTACACAGTAGGAATAAAACAAACGACTATCACAAAACAAATAAAAATAAACTCTATAAATGTATTGTTTATGTGACGCCATTATCATATTATGAAGTTACGGGTCCACCTAAAGCAGGGCTTCGGGCACGTTATAGGCGGCCTCCAACAATTGACATTGACATACACTGCACCATGACTTTGGCCTGCGAGTGTCCATTGTTACAACGGTATAACAGATACCAACAACTTTTAAAATAAGCTGTCAACAACAAAGCATTCTATATAAGCAGTCTTAACAGCTTAACACAACAGCATTGAGTATTATCATAATGGCTTTGCACCATTGCTGTTATTACCTGCCAAAACCATATGTAGAGAGAAGTGCATCTGTGGTGAATTATGATGGCACTATATACAAACAAAGTACTTGTGCTACACCTGACATATACCTTCGGACAGTGAGATTAAGCCGCCAGCCAATCACATACCCCATCATTCTTTGGTAAAAACCTAAAGTAATTCACCTTGAATTTTTAAATAAATACATTTTTTTTTCTGAAACTAAATAATTTCCTCATTTTTGGTCCCAATGCTGGCATGCACTAGTTCACAATATACCCACAAATTACTTTCCACAAACCAAAGGTACATGACCGGGAGCCTGTGAGCCTCAAGATATGAAATTATTAAGAATTGTTCACAACCAATATTAGTATAAAAGCAAACCATATACAAATAGAACAGGTAGACGATAAAATTCCAAAAAATAAAAAATCTCATAGGCAAAAAAGTAAAGTTTAAGATTTAGATATTGCTATTTTAGAAATAAACACCCTGTATATATCAAAAAGTTATGCTTACAAAACATTTTTAGAATAGCTGTACAGTTTACAAAGCTTTAGACAAAAAAATTATAAACATAATGTTTTTGGGATTATATGTATTTGCAAATGCTTTGTAAAAGATACAAGCTTTAAAAAAATTAAAATTTAGAAAAAAAATATTTAAGTAAGTTGTGACCGGTTGCAGGAAACAATATAATAATAATATAAACCTTTAACATTTATAATTTTTTTGTCTAAGCAATTTCTAAAGTGAAATTAAGTTAAATGTAATATATAGGAATGAATAATTATGTATTAGTTGGTTCCAGCCCAATTGTTCAAGTATATTTGCATGTTACAAGAATAAGTACTTATATATTACAATTTGTTAATGGCTTAATGTTCTTGAAGCAAAGAGAATACATAAACTGTGAATATAGTATGTTTAATCTTAAATGAATAAGACTAGGGTCTGATAAATATGTAGTTTTATTTATAAATAAGTAATTACTGAAAAGACCAAAAATGCAATAGGAGGATTATTCATTGTAATGAGAATTTGGAAGAGAAAGTTACTAATGAGTATGATATAAGTAAATCATTTGAGTCATCATGGAAAACAAATCAAAACTAGGAATTTCTTTATGCACCCTCATCACTATTTGATGCAAAACATATATAAAATTATGGCAGATCATGAATGGTAAAAAAGTACCACATAAATGGATACAACAGCTATCAATCTATAAACATACAAAACTCTCTAAAACAAGAACAACAAGTATCCACCATTGTGTTTTAAATTATTAATAGAAGTTAAAATAAAAACTTATTATACTAGTACAATAAACACTCATTCATATAAGGTAGCAATGAATATTATCCATGTGATGAGCATGGTGGCAGTACACAATATAATTAAAGGAAACTACATTCACCAAATTAAAGCTTTCGTAAACGGAGGGTTTCAGCTCAGAACTTGAGTTTGGGCTTGAGCTCGTGGGCGCGACCACCCCAGTCTAGCCGGTAGCAGCGAGTCCGCCACGAGATCTCTGGGTTTAGGAGGGCGGCCGCGAGGACAAAGGGTGCACAGCACTCGCTCCACACCCAACCGAGAAGGAACTGCACTTTTGTGAACGGAGGCGATCCGTTCTGCACAGATCGCAGTATCAACCAGTCAGACAGAAACCACACTAGCACATGCACTAAAAAGAATGGTAAGGGTTCCGCGCCGAACAGCTGACCGGCGGCCCACGCGGCGCCGGCGCCGAGCGGCATGCACTCGCTGAGCGGCTCCAGGAGTGTGGTGGTGGGCACCATCGCGATACGGAGCCTCGCCCATCTAGTCAACCGCGCCTGCAACGCTCCCACCGACCGCGTACCGGAGTTCTGCAACGCGGGCAACGACGCGACACGCATACGCCACCCTCGAGCCACCACCGCCTTCGCCATAAAGTAATCTTCGGCGAGGTAGTCACCGAACGCTGCCAGCCCCCCTGTCTCCTCTAGGGCGCAACGCCGTATCATCGACGACATGCCGACGTGACAGTTTATGCCCAGGAAATCGGCGCCGAGGTACATCCGCGCTTGGGCAGTGCCGAAGAAAACCTTCTCGTAAACGGCGGCGAATCCCTCTGCGTCACAGACGAACGGCATCTGGTGGACGATAGCAACGTCCTCCCGCATATGTTTTACCATATCTATTAGCGTGTCTTCCCGCATACGAATGCCGGCGTCGCTTATCAGTATCAATGGATATTTTGCCGCCAAGTACGCTGGTTGCATATTGTTGATCTTCGGATTCACGCCAACACACATACCGCCAACAAACAGTCGCGCTTCAATGTGTGGATATTTATGTAAAAGACTGTTGGCCAGCATCACTGCGGGATCGTGCTCGTTTTCAACGCAAAACAGCACTTCGTAAGTAGGGTAATCGAGAGTGAAAAAAGTTTCTAAGTTAGAGAACAAATTAGGATCTACGCCTGTTAAGGGCTTCAGAATAGACACTCCTGGATAAGGTTGCTCCGGCGGCGACCGGTCTACCGTTCTATGTAATTTCCATTTTGAGTACGAAAATGCCATTATGTGAATTAACCACAGACACACCCACGCAACTATGAAAAATATGGCAAAACCATACACTGTATACACCATGGGCATCATAATTGTAAAATTCTTGTGTCTTTTTGGCGTTCGGGCCACATAATATCGACTGCTTTGAAGGGCTTAGGACCGTGCGCTATGATAATATCATAACACTTAACTAACAAAAAACTAGATAAGTCGCCGTATAAAACTGTGGAACCTGATTCACTGTATGTTATCGCGTCATTTTTTCCACCCGAACACTTATGCGATCTTTTTTATCACGACTTTATTTTTACGACAAACCGTTCATTTCATACAGTTACAGCACAACACAATCGCGAGAACAACCAATCCTCGTCAATTTCAATATTGCCGTCAATCCAACTACCTCAATGTTGCCAAGCCAAAACTTAAAAAGCTTCTAATAAAACTACTAAAAGCAAATCAAACTTAGATAAATTTTATATTCACACACGCATTTGCTTTTGTCATAATTCATCATCATCATCATCATCATTTCAGCCTGTTTGAGTCCACTGCTAAACATAGGCCTCCCCCATAAACTGCCACGAAGTACGATCCTGAGCCACCTGCATCCATTGACTTCCCGCACATTTGCACAGGTCGTCACTCCATCTAGTGGGGGGTCGTCCCACACTGCGATGGCCAGTACGAGGCTGCCACTCGAGAACCTTTCTTCCCCAACGGTCATAATTAGCTATTATAAAATAATTTAGTAAAAAAATTAACAACAACGTTTCATGTTTTTTGCCACCAAACTGTATATTAATTAGGGGAGGGAATTGGCCCCTGTAACACGATAACCTAGTTTGGGAGTCAGTACTGCTTACTTAACTAATTCTGTATGTTAAAAGTTTTCAATAAATCACATTTATTACTTATTTATTCAAATATTTTATAGATTGCAATGAATTAATAAATTAAAATATTTTTTATCGAAAAGGAATCCAAACGTCGCAAAATAAACTTAAAAACAAAACCCAAGTCCGTCATATTAAAAAAAATGTTTCATTAATGTGTAAACGCGATTACACTATTATACAAGTTATTTTATACTATTAATAGAAGAGAAATTATTATATTATGAATTATTTAAAAAACTTAAAATTATATTATTTATTGTTTTAACCTTAAATAATTTAATGAAAAGAAATTAGGTTGAAATTTGCTTCTTATTATTCATTAATAAATACTTAAAATATGATTTTGTCTTTATATAAGAGAAAACCGGAAGAGTTTTCAGTTTATGTACAATCAAAGTGCAACAATTATAATTAGAATTAACTAGATCCCGTAAAAAATGAAAATTTACTTTCATCTAGCATATTTCGCAAAAGCTTCGAAGACTTTCTCACATACAAGTAAATAGAATGTTTTCAAGTATTATTTACGCTTTAATTAATTGCTATAGCCGCTAGTTCACCCTATCAGTGGTAGCAGATCGTGGTTAAAGAGAAAGGAATAGTTGAACTTTATACAAAGGATCGACGCTATAAAATTAGTCTTTCTGACACATTTATATATGATGTACCTGATTTGTCGAATAATCCAATTTCTGCAAGCAAAATTACGGATCATGGCTATAAGGTTCTATTTGAAAATGAACAAGCCAGTGTCACAAAAGGCGGGAAAACTGGGCAGGCACGTCCGGGTTATACCCACCACCTCACAGAAGACCAGCGTATAGTGGAAGTATGACAAATACTTCCGCGTTTCGTCTGGTGAGTGAGGTAGCCGGAGGCCAATTTTCAAAAGGTTGTCAACGCATCTGCAACCCTCGAGTGTATGAGATGTCCATGGGCGGCGGTATTCACTTACCATCAGGTGAACCGTCTGCTCGTTTGGCAACTTTTCACATAAAAAAAAAGAAATTATTCGTAAGTAAAACTTAATAGTAGTTTTATTTGTTTTCATGTTTTTAATGTAAAAGGCACATTTATTTTACATTTTTTTTTTGTTTTGAATTGTGACTCTGTGGCCACTAGCCATAATGGCCACGAAGAAGTTATCTGTGATTATTTCTTCGCGGGCTTAGCAGCAAAATTCAAATTTATGTTCTTGTTTAATTTTAATTTTGAATAAGAAATGGATGCGAACAAGTTGTTAAAAAGCATAAACAATTTAAATGAATACATACGAATTTCACAAGATGTATCAAGTATTAATTACGATGATGTTAAAATACAATTTAATATGTCTACAATTCTTGCCTTGAAAAAGATAAGGTCATTGGAAATAGAGGTAAATATAGCAAAAATTCAAAAAATAATGTGTATGTGATAATTTAAACTTAGTATAAAACTTATTTCAGTATTTCAACAAATTTGAAGAGAATGGCGTGGGTATTAAAATGTATGAGTTATTATTGCTTTTACCTCCGTCAAAAACTTGGAGTCTTCTTGGTAAAGAACTTATTTATTTATTGAAATATTGGTTGGACGCAATGCGTAAGCACCTCATATTTCATAACAACCATTGGTGGTCATTTCTGCAAATCCTGTTGAAGTTTATTAAGGTACTATAATATAATCAGATCAAACATATATATTAATGAATTTGATTTATTAAGGTACTATAATATAATCAGATCAAACATATATATATAGTAATGAATTTGATTTCTGTATATATCGTGATAAATAGTCTCTATACTATCTTTAGTAACTAATTTACAGAAAAAATTATGCAATATTTACAACATTAAATCTATCTAATTTATATATTACTAGCTACTGCCCGCGACTACGTCTGCGTAGAGGGGTGAAAATTAGGGTTGTATGTATTTTTTTTTTGCTGTGTCATAAAAAAAAAATAGAAACAAAAAGTTTTATATAAAAAAATAAAAAAAAAATTTAGGGGTGGACTACCCCCTTAACATTAAGGGGGACGAAAAATAGATAGTAGCCGATTTTCAGACCTACTGAATACGCATATAAAATTTGGTAAAAATCGGTCGAGCCGTTTCGGAGGAGTTCAAGTTCGAACCCCGTGACAGAGAATTTTATATATTAGAAGATATAACTTGATTAATATAACCTTTTTCATGCGGTATGGTGCCAAGAATGCTAACTGCATTTCCGCATTGAATATTCAATATATGCTTATATTATGTTTAATCTTTGAGCGAGAAAATAATCAGCCCTCTTGTCAACAGCCGTTAAGCCTATTTTATCAAGGAAATTTAAGGAAATTTTATCTCAGTACAATAAATCATATTACAACTTATTTTCTTTATCTATCTATTTATTACTTTATTATTCTTAGCTTTATTTAATCTGTAGGGTTATTTTTACTTGTAATTTCTAATTAGTAACACAACCGAAATTATAATATTATAATGTTAGTTACATGTATTTTTTCACTTTTGTCTAAGGCAATTTAAAGGATTTTTATATAAGATAGATATATTTCCATTCTTATATATGGCTAACATTATTCTTAGATTTTGTGACTGCTTTAAATATGAGATTTGACAAAACTTATATACACTTCTATAAATTGAAACCTTTTAGGAAATTAAAGTGAAGGACAGTAAAATGAATAATGTTCTTTTGGAGGAAACGGCAGAATGCTTACTTGACCTAGCAACACACAACAAACCTGATCCTATCCAGAGGCATGAGATAGTTTGCTTGTTTAACCTTTGTGGAGCTGATTCAAGCAGGGAAATCAGATTCGCTTTGAGAAAACAATTAGACTGTTATTTGTAAGATACAGTAATATTTATATAAAAATATTTTTGTTACAAGTAGAAAATTTACTTTTTAAATTTTACCGTTGTTTGATAAAACAAAAATATCCAATAATATTTGTAATTGAAAAAGAAATTTGAGTATATCCATGCTTTCATTTCATACTCTTACACGAGTTTCATACAAGTGGTAATTGTCTAGTGCTTAGAACGTCGGCCAAGCGATCTTAAGGTCACGAGTTTGAGTCCCAGTGCACCAGGGTTCTCCGTTTTTTGGAACTTTCTAGTCTCCGTTGTGTGGCGACAGCTCGTCGTCGTCGGTCCGAAGGAAGAACAATTCAGTAACTTCTTTTTAATTCACAAGTCAATTTTTTACTAACGAAAACCAAAACCGACTTGTAACATCTCGCTCTGTATTCATTTTATAATTGATTTTCTGGAGTTCTCTTCGTATCTCCGGAGCCCAAGACCCAATACAAATGAAATCAATATGGGAAGACATGGGAGGCACCAGCTTTCAAATAAATCAAAACCGGTTCGCTCACTGTAAAGTTCTCGACAAAAACAAACGTAAAAAAAAAATACATTCGAATTGAGAACCCCCTCCTTGTTTGATGCCGAAAACTGGCCAGCACTTGACTGCCATCCCACCCGATGGTCATCATCACCCTCTCTTCGAGTGAAGATGTCTTTCCCGCGCGCAGCATCAAGCTCTCCGCTCTCTTGGCGTCGTGTGGCGACGTGGCGATCCAGTACAGCATCCTGGAGGCACTCCTGCGCTGGCTGCTGCCGCGCCAGGACAAGGTGGTGCGGATGGAAGCCGCCACCAGGTGGTTCCCCGACCACCTGTTCTCCAGGGCGGCGGTGGACGTGTTCCTAGAGAGGCTCTGGCACGACTTCTTCCAGGTCTTTTATTTCAATAACGGTCGTTTTCTGCTCTTCTGTTAAAGATTTTTGTATACACATTAAATATACAATGAGAATATAATGTAAATTAAAATAAAATGACATGTAACAACGATTATCAATCAAATATATCCGCGTATTGCATGCAATGCATCTGCAATCTACGGGCATCACAAATGTCCATGGGCGGCGGTTATCGCTTAGCATCAGGTGAACCGCCAGATCGCTTTCCACATTCAGTAAATAAAACATTGATATTGTGGTCTTTTATTATTGAATTCTGATCATTTAGTAGTTTCAGACGTCACTCACTGTATCGCTTCGATCGACTAACGATCAAGTTTAGGGATGGACCACATTTAAAAAAAAAACAGCCTTATGAGAAATCAGTATACATTCTATTTACCTAACGCTCGGAGACATTACTTATCAGCCATTAAGATTAAAGGCTTAATTACGAAAATAAAACACTTTATTATTCTAATTAGTCTCTGGGTGTGGATGTTGATTATTTTAATTTGTACCTAGTTAACTTAATCCTAATACTTAATGAAGGACGCGAGAGATTTCATCAACGTGCACAACGCTTCGGGCGATTTAGTTACGTCGGTTGTATGCAAGGGACTATCCGTCGGCTCGACTGTTGTGATTGCGGTAAGTTGGAGGCAGGACCCGGGGTCGATTCTCGATCATGCTATCCTTCGTTACCTTTATCTGATCCAGTTTGTAAGCACTTTGTTGGGGAACCTTTGGACTCAAGTGTTTTAGACCTCTTGGATTAACCAAGAGTCCACGGTATAACTTAGGGGTGCGAGAAGGGTCGAATATGAGAACTTGGTCAGCACAAGAATCAAAGTAAGGAATATAAATCAGATGTAAATTAACTTGGCCAATGACCAAAATAGGTTTGAGAATCACTGTCCTAGATGGATACATATCGATCAGATATGATGAAGGATGTTCTTCCATACAACCCCGGGTTATTATATGTATGTACACTTGTTGGACTAATTTGTTTACCGCGAGCACTGTGCACGTACAGCCGAGTGCAAAAGCCAGTTCTCGGTCAGCAAAGATGTCTAATATAAAAAAAAAGTCTTCTTCAATTACGTTCACTGTACAAAAGACTGTGACTGTACAAAAAGTTACACGTGGGCGAGAACACAAGGGTTACCCTCCCATATAAACTGTTTGACTGAGGTAAGGCCACTCCCAGCTTCCACTGTGGCACGGTAGGCTCATCCGGGGAAGTACCACAGCCTCACAGAAGACCGGCGTGAAAACATAGGATTAGACTTTCACGTTTCTTCTGATTAGGTTGGTAATCGGGGACCACTTTCTAAATGGTTTACGCATCTACAAGCTCTCGGGTGTTGCATCATGTGATGTTAAGTGATTACCGCCACTCATGTCCATGGGTGGCGGTAATCACTTAACATCAGGTCAACCGGCTGCTTGCTTGACAAATTTTTACATTAAAAAAAAATTGTAGAGCGAAGGGACTCGTAAGAACGATCAGAATGATCTTAATGATCAGAATGATCAATTCAAAGGGTTTAACCATCCTTTTGGCAACTCAAATGTTAATTTCTACTATGATCAGTGTTCGGAAACCGGGCGCTAGTCTTTCGCGCACTCTAACTTTGGGAATGTTCTCTCCCAGGGCGGCGGGAGTAGGGCCCACTGGTTGGACCTGAACGCAGCTACCGGGCGGCTCTCGGTGACCCTGGAGCCAAGCGCTATGGAGACCCTCGGCGGGGAGTGGACCGGCGGCTGCGGCACGCTCGTCCTCACAGAGGCTTCCGCGGTCGAGGTCAAGTTATACAGGTCGGCATGATCCATAAACGGTATCCTTATTGTTAATACCACGGTTCCTCAAACTTTGCGGCGAATATTTTAAACTAGTTAATACGTAATAAATATTTATGCACAGCGTGTTGTTACAACCGCAACATTAAATTAACACACTTCTAACGCTACTTGCTAATAATGATAAAAAAATACAAACTAAGAAAAATCCATAATTACAAAAAAATAATTTTTAAACAAATTAATTAAATAAAAAAGAAACAAAATTTGTAACACCTATACAGCTACAATTGACTGATTCATCCATTTAGAAACTTTTTCATTCATTGCCACAACGTCACGTTACAAGTCTCTCCTTCTAACAGTATGTTTTATCTCTTCTAAATTCATTCAACCCATTCATATGCTTTGTGACCTTCACAAATGAACTTTACGTTACAGTTATATACGTAAGGATGTTCTAAAGTTGTTTGTTTTGGAAAATTTATTAACTCGGTAAATATTGACGTTTAAAGAATGTAAATGTTTAATTCAATTTTAAAAAGTTGTCCTCTATATTTGTGTTCATTTATTGTCGCGGTTATAACGAGACGCTGTATATAAAAATGGCTGGACCAATTCGGCTAATTTATTTTTTGTATGTTCCTTAAGGTCCACGGAAAGGTTTTAATACTATTAAAAAAAACTTGACAGAACAAAGTCTGTCCGGGCAGCTAGTCGCCAAATAAATTTATGTTTATTCTTACATAAAAAAGGTGAACCACCAGCGTTTGGCACCTTCTCTCTTAAAAAAAAATAACTAGATAAGGCCTGGCTCGGTAAATATGTTCCAGAGAGGTGTCGGATGTAGTGGTGTCGGTGGTGAGCTCGCGGCCGCCGCTGGTGGTGCCGTCGCTGGTGGGGGTGGTGCTGGACGGTGACCATCGCGTGCTGCTCGCCATCAGCATCAGCGATGCGGCGAGGCTCGATAAGGCGCTGCGCGAGCTCTTCGCTGATAAATACCAGGTGGGCCATATTCAAAGGCGTTGTGTTATACAAGTATCACCCGCTTAACATTGTCCCACCTAGATGGGATCGGAACAATGCGTTGCCAATGGTATTGGTGGGTTTTTTGCTACTTCAGCGGGTGGTAACACCAAAAAATCCGGTCGCACAAATACTTTTTCTGTGTGGGAAGAGAACCCACGACACGACTCCTTACGTAGCGAACAGCTTCGTAAGAAGTCGCCGCGTGGGTTCTTTTAACAAGTCTTTCGTTGAGATTTGATTTGTCATTTATATTATTTTTAATGAGACCTACTTTATCTGTTCTACCACATATACTACTAGCTATAACTTTATTATATCGTTACCTCGTGCCTGAATAACTTTAGAAGTAATAAGCTGATCTTCCTGACATTTACGGGGGGATAAATACAAATAACTCTTTGGTGTTCCCTATGTTTAATGTTCACGAAGTCAGCTTCATTCTAACGCGTTTAAATCCTGGGTGACATACGACCGCCCTGGGGGACGCCACTTGTCGCTTCATTCCCTTACCTTTACTTGCAAGTAAGGTTGTTTTATATCATAATTAGCTGCTGCAAGCGTAAAGGCTAAAGGCGTAACATTCAGACAGAAAGACAGATATAAATAAAAATTATAGCCTATGTGTTATTCTGATGCATAAGCAAATATTGTAAAGTATCATTTAAATCCATTCAGTAGTATTTACGTAAAAGAGTAAGAGACATCCATCCATACATACAAACTTTCTACTTTATAATATTAGTAAGGATTGACGCTTTTATGAGTAATATTCTATCGTTCCAGACGTAATATCTGTGTACATTCACACTCACTTTCTCTACTCCACCCTAAAGTTGACTGGTAGAAAATGCTATTGACATTAAGTCCGCCTTTGTCCGTCTTTTTGTTGTTCCGTCTGGGCAAAAAGTATAATTAAATAAATAACACATTATAATAATAGTATCATTATTCGCAGGTTTCTTTTGACATTGCTAGCGTTGGTGCCGTTTCGCCGAGGGACATGCGTCCTCATCGGAACCGTGATGGGAACGAAGTGAGTGATCATATTTTTTTTTACGCGAAAAGTTGCGAAGCGAGCAGACGGTTCACCTGATGTTAAGTGAATACCGCCGCCCATGGACATCTGCTACACCCGAGGGTTGCAGATGCGTTGACAGCCTTTTGGAAATTGAGCTCCGGCCACCTCACTCACCAGACGCAACGCGAAAGTATTATACTTCCACTTTACGCCGGTCTTCTGCGAGGCAGTGGTACTTACCCGGACGAGCCTGCCCATTCATGCAACAGCCGAGGCTGCTGCGTGGCCCTACCACTGTGATTCTTAAAAAGTGTGTTGTATATTGAAAGTATGTTGAAAGTTTATGAGGAACATTCACATTAGCTGAACGTTTCTTATTTGAATAATTTTGACATAGAACATGTATTGGATAGTGGACTTCTCTAGCACCAGAGGGTGGATTCGGTCCGTGTTACTGTTGATATATTGTGTTTTTCTAGTGTCTGGTTGATTTTATATCTATAATATGTATTTATTAACAAAAAAGAAGTATGTTTATGCATGTTTATCAGTTATCTAGCATCCATTGCACAAGCTACCGGACTAGATAACGTTGTGTAAAAATGTCCTGAAATGTTTATTATTATTATCATTATGGGGAATATTTATTTTCTCTTCTAGTTAGGTTTATGAATAAAAGTAAACATAAACGTATATGTGATGTATACGTGAAGCAAAAACTTTGTACCCATTTTTACGAAGACTGCGCGGACGGAGCAGTATGAAATTTCCCAGAAGGAATGCAGAATGCTAATATTTTTTTTATTACACGTTACAATTATACGTTACAATTAAAAGACATTACACACTACCATGTATTTAATTTTGGTCGGATTTCGATCACTAGGCGACCACTAGTTGTAAATAAATAAAAAATTGAATAAGACATAATCAGACCGAATTTTAACATTATGAATATTATTAAAATTGTTCAACAGCCTACGCCTTTTGACTTATTAATCGTAGGGTCGCATTAAATAATAACAGTTGGGAGGTAGTTTGATAAGGAACAAGTAATTGTGGCTATTCCAATTTGATTTGCTTTGCCTATTTCAGGTAGAAAAAAGATTTTCGTGTTCCGTCGAGCCCAGAAGAAAGCGTCACGCGGGTAAGTGATTTTTTAAACATTTCTAATGAAATGTTTCAAATGGTCACGTTTTGGTCAATTTGTCGCGTATTTGTTCCTAGTTTTTATTTCATCGTTGGCGTTTTTAGGAGTAAACGCCCGAAATGGTCAAGTCTCATATTTATGCCATTTCGGTGATATGCGCCATCGGGAAGGGAAACACTGTTTGTTTACAATGACTTTATTCGCTTCGTTTCATGGACTTAATAAATCGTGTACATTTTTTAAAGGCATGGTAATACAATTATATGATCTTTTTTTATTTATTATGTTTTAATTTGTAAGCCTTTAGTTGTACATCTTAGTTGTAATTGCTGGAAATTATAATTATTCTTTTTTTTTCTTTCGAAACTAATATACTTAATCAGTTTTTGTATAACCGTATAACATATAGGTATTATAAGAGAACTTTGATATGCCATGGAAAATAATATAAAAAATAAACATATTATAGTTTAAACTATAATAGTACCTAGGGGTGAGGAATTGGCATTCATTCTAGAAATAAATATTTATCTATTTATTAAAAATGCTCACTATCTCGACTAATTTAATATTACAAGTTTATTACTTTGTCATTTATAATAATTTGGTCCGCCCCGGGAAGTACCACGACCTCAGGAATTGGAAGAGTTACACCTCTGCATTGTACAACACATAAATGTATTTGATGTTAACAAAAACAAAACAGAACCGACTTCAAATATCTCGCTCACGTAAATAGGTAATAAACATAAGAGAAACTGAATTCAGAACATCCTTCAAATAAGATTTATCGTTGATTTTATTAAAACCGCTTAATCATTTTGATAACATTTAAATAGGACCTCTTAGGATGTACGACGTCTTCGAGTAATCGGTGAACATAGATAAAAAAGATTTCGACGAATTGACTACGTCCTTCTTTTTTGAAGTCGGTTAAAAATTGTTTTCACGACGACTGATTAGTCAAAATTTGTTTTTGTTTTTTAATATTTTTAATATTATAGGAGACATTTTTACACAACATTTTCTAGTCCTAAACTAAACAACGCTTGTAGTATGGGTACTAGAAAACTGATAAACATACTTAAACATACTTTATCTTTTGTAAATAAATACATATAACATTTACGGTGGTAGGGCCATGTAGCAGTCTCGTCCGTATGGGCAGGCTCGTCATGTGAACCGTCTGGTCGCTTGGCAACTTTTCACATAAAAAAATACATATATAAACACCCACTAGGAAAACACTATGTTCATTACACAATATTTTTCCAGTAGTGGGGATCGAACCCACACCCTCTGGCGGAGACGGCAGGTACACTACCCACTACGCCTTTCGGGTCGTCAAAAATCATATATAATAAATGTATCATTCAAGTTTTATTTAACAATCGTGTAGTGTAATTTCTTTGATTTCCCAGGATACATCGTAAAGCCGAAAATTAGCGGGGGTTTGGCTTCGCCCTCAACGGCGTCCACTTCCTCACTAGCGCAGGTGAGAGGTATAACCTCATTGAAAAAAATTGTTTTTAAAAAATTAAACATCTACCTCTTTGGACTCTAAGGGTTGTCTGAGCGTATTTAGTTTTTAATAAGCTAATTTATACCTCAACCTCCAGAGTATTTTGCACGTAATTCAGATACAGACTCTAACACCAATCGTATAATTTTGAAGGGATATTTAGCCCGACTAAAAAGTAGTAAGGTAAGATAGTATAGGGTTATGATATACACCTGCCACTAGATGGAGTAATGACCTGTGCAAGTTTGCGGTAAGTCGACGGATGCAGGTGGCTTAGGATGCCTTCGTGGCAGCCTGTGGGAGAGATCTATGTTCAGCTGTGATGGTGATGATGATATAGCCAACTAATGAGTGGTGACATCTGATACGCGCAATATGAGCCTGGTTTCTTTTGACTTAAGATTTGTATTAGTCATTGTGGGGAGCTTAGTTAGTTAATATAGGTAGTATTACATTTCTTCTCGCTGCAGTCCATATAGCATACCCCCTTGGTGCAATACGTTGTTGTTCGGAATTGCGACCATACTACCGTTTTTAGAACGATCATTTTGTAGATATAAATGCTTTATTAACCGATGACTAGATTTCATTCGACGGAATGACATAGAAAGGCCTCAGCCCTGAGAGTATTGTCAGCCTCGCACCCTTTTTGTACACGAAGGTTGAAATTATTGGAATATTTCCAATCGTTTCACCGAAGAGCACTTCAGTAAAATGGTACTTAAATTTCAACTGACAATGTAATTGGTGCTGGTTATCTTAAATCACTTCACCATATTTTATTTTCACAAGATAAAATATATATAGTGAATTAAAGGCGTTCGATACTTATACAGTGTTATAATATGTGTATTGCAGCTCCACGATAAGTTGGCAGCACTGCCGAGGTACGACTATGAGAAAGAGCCCGTAAGCGTTTGCGCTCGCCCTCAGCTGTCCAGCGTAACCGAAGTGAGCGAGACGGACGATCGCCAGAGCCTCAACGTCAGTTTCAGCGCGGTCAAACCTAGGCCCTACGGCGTATGCCACAAGAGCTCATCCTCGAAGGCCCACGTCGACGGGGGAAAGGGACAGGCTAACACCAAATGCCTATCGCCAGTCGCGGCTGAGGAGGGCAATTCGGTCAGTTGTCTTCTCGTTGCGACGATCGGTTCAGCCGATGAGTCCGTAATAAACGACACACTGGAACGTTTCCCGCAAAGCAAAGACGGTAACGCCGACAATATACTAGATTTGCTCGTTCTAGAGGCATTTCAGAGTAAGAACGGCAGTAAAAAAGTCAAGGCCACCAATATAGAGAGTAACAAAGCCGCACCTTCTAATCCCGTTGAGGAGCCCGCAGAAGACGCTTTGAGAGGGAATCCCAAAGGAAAAGCTTGCACCGTTGTCAGCAACTCTTCATATACGGAGGATTCCAACACGGATGTGGTAGAAGGCACGCAATTCAGCCACGTCAACGTTGACAGGAGGAGGAATAGGGATAACAGCGGGTTGCCATGGAAACGGGACGCTGCGGCCGCCCCAGTAAAAACTTTCGACGAGAGGGCGGTGGAAGAGTTCTTCACACAGCACTTCGCGGAGAACATTAACGGGGAAGTGGTGATAAGTCCGACCCTGGCGAAGAAGATAAACGAAACCAGCTCCGAAACTAGCGAAGAGTTCGACGCTTGTGAACGGGAGGCCGATCTCGAAACCAGCCAACGAGCTGTACCCGACGCGGAAGTTATAGAATGCGTCAATTTTATATTGGATAGGATTTGTAACGAGTTCAGAAAGTGCCCGGAGGTAATGAGCACTTGTATTGAGATTGCCGACAAAGGGGCTGACAATAATAGTCATACAGCCGAAGCCATAAAATCTCCCACACAGGTTAACGTCGAATTAAAGACTCCAAAAGCGAGAGCCAAGAAGGCCACTAAGGGTATCAAATTAAAATTCACTTCTATCAAGAACACTCGAACTACGAGACAGAGAAGTAAACTGGAGTTGGTAGAACGAACTAAGGAGATAAACAAGGTCGATAGCAAAATCCAAGACAGACGCACTCCGATTATTACGGATAGTAAAGTTGAAAATAGCAAAATGGATACACCGATCGTTCGGAGGAAACGTAAACTCTACTCGCCGAAAGACGAAAGGTGCAACGAGAAATGCGCCGAAGACAACGTCACAACTAACGCTGCACCCGAGGTCAGCATCATACGAGAGAAAGAAACCTGTAACATACTATAAGCAAGTAGAACAGGAGCGTAACGAATATATGAAGAAGTTGAGGAACAGAAAGCTGAAGAGTAAACAGCTAGACTTGTCGCCTAAAACGAAGAGGTTGAACGAGGCATTCGACAATTTAAAGAATGGAACCCAAGGTGACGAGAAGGTCGTCTTAGCGGACAGGACGAATGCGAACGACATAGCCATTTACAACTTCACCAGCGACAGCGAAGATGAGGATTTTAAGAAGGGCACGGTCAAACGTAGAACAGCCTCAATCAAAACGGATACTCCGCGCGAGGGCAAAAAGAAGACGCAAGCGAAGCGCAAAAGGGCGAATCGTTCTAAAGCTAGGGTTAAAATCGAGAAACCTATCGATGCTCTAGTAGATGAACGCTTGAGAAAAACGACCGTAGACATTTTAAATACATCCGTGGAACCCAGAGACTGTCCAGAAGACAAAGCGATTGAAAATATCGCACCGATGATAACCATAGAGCATGAAATGGAGCCTATCGAGGAAACTATACCTATGGAGAGTATAGACAGCAAGACGGCAAACAGGAAAGTTAAAAAAACCGAAAAAACTATATCGCTGAAGACAAAGGGTTTAGCTAAAGCAACTTTAGCTTTGAACGAAACGGCAGATAGGACGGAGAGTCCTTTGCCCGGACTCCTTGTGGAAGCGACTGCACCACACGACAGTATAGCCAACGATTCTGTCACGGCGAACATGATGCGAAAGTTTCAAGAGATTTACGAACGGCGATCGGATTTCAACGGCACCGAGCGCGACAGTACACGCAATTTACTGCAAATCGACAGCCTGGACAGCCCGAGAGCTCCGAATCCAGCCGAAGATCGTGATATCTCTAAAGATTATCTGAACACGTCCAAACCGTCCACCTCGAAAACATCGCCCGTTCACAATCAAAAGAGAAAACTTAAGTCCGTCGAAGATTCGGAAAATCTTCGAACCGCGAGGACTAGAAGCTCAAGCGCCCTAAAAGAAAAGAACAAAGTAGACTCGGCGAAATATAGAAACGAAGGCGGAAGTAGAAATCAGACGGTAACTAATAAAAGGAGCTCAGCAGAGCTTGAAGTTATAGATATTTCGGGGGTTTATTCGGAGAAATCTTTCGATACCGTCGGACATTCCCCAATAACCGCCCACGGGGATTTCGCTCTGTGCGAAAACGACGTACCGCCGAGCCGGGATTCGCTCAATCGGAATCTGGAGCCGAGGAACCTGGAGGTGGACGACTTGGACCAGTCGGCAAAGGATTACTTCACGGATCTAATGAAAGAAATAGCGGAGGGAACGTTCGATTTGCGCGCTAAGACGAAATTCAGCGACATCAACAGTGATTCCGATGAAAATGAAATTAATAATGGTACTAAAGCAAAATCACGTGTTCAATCGAAACCGATCCCCTCCAAACTAAGTGACGTTAACAGCACTTTCGAAGATGCGTCGAATAAACGCGCGGTCACGAAAATTAAGTCGCCTTTGGTGTCCGTGACGAGATTGTCGTCGGACGACATAAATAAGTGGCTGCCATCGCGGCCCAACTCGGAGCTGGACGCGAGTAGCGCTATCATGGTGCCTAAAGATCGAGCAACCGTCGATTCGGAGAGACTAAGCGACGAGAATCAAGCATCGAGCAAATCTAAAGACAAAAGGGGCGAGGAAATTCGCAGGAAATCGGTTATATCGCCGATAAGGCTGTTCGATGACATAAAACCTTTCACCAGCCAGAATTCGGACTGGTCGAACACCATCGATTTTGGGAAACACGCGGGGAATCGATTCTACACCAAAAAGGCGTGCCCCGGCACAAGGAAGTCGAACGCCGATAGTAGCGATGTGAAATCGAGTTTCAAAAGTATTGTGGAGACCACCAGGGCTTCCAGGTCCGACGTGAAGGTGACCTCAACCCCAACGTCGGGAAGCAAGAAGAGGAGGGTTGCTGCTGATGCCCAAGAAAGGAGGTTGGACAGCGATCCAAGCATCTCCAGCGTGAACGAATGGTTCGATCGAATCGCTCCCGTAACGAGTCAAGGTACGAAATTTTTCTTTGGCATTCTTATTGGTCATGTATAATTTTTATATATTAAAGGTGTTTTTTTCTTTATGCTAGATCTCAATTGATACTCTATCAAAATTAATTATTGAGATATCGTTCCCCGCTATTAACGAAAGTCAACTAAGTAATTTACAAGCAGTGTACAATATGCTTTCTTTAAAAAAAAAAAAGTTAATATAGATGACGCCTTTATACCAAAGGCGTTATCGATTGACAATCTATTTAGAGTGAACTATATTCATGTTTGTGTTCAATACATACAGCAGAAATATTTGTCTTTATTATGACCTGTAAGATAGGGTATGGCGGGAAGAACAAAAAAATTGTGTGGATGTTGGGAATTCATTATGGTCCGTTTCATGATGAGATTTCTGGGTATTAAGGGCGTCCGATGTAACCTCCTGAATATAATGTCTAATTATAAACCATGAATTCATTTTCTGTCTTTGCATACCTGGCCCAAAAGAGGGCAAGAGCTTTAAGAAATCTGTGGCTTCATTCAATGACTACGTGTTTATAATGAAGAAATGTACTTTTCAGTGGAGGCGGTCAACGTTGGCTTTAAGGACAATGTATCGAGCATAATGGAGAAGTTGGACACGACGCTAGTAGAGATTCACCATAACACGAGCAACCGGTAAGATATTATACAAAAGTAACTCTTAAACATATGTTGTTAAGGCGCTTTTATCAAACGGTGCATCTGATGTGGAACAGTGTCTGAAATTGGTACATATCCTAAATAATATTATAAAGGCGAAAGTTTGTATGTATGGATGGATGTTTGTTACTCTTTCACGCAAATACTACTGAATTGATTTTAATGAAACTTTACAATAATATAGCTTATTCATCAGAATAAGACATAGGCTATAATTTATATACATATTTTATATATGTATCTGGCTGAATGTTACTCCTTCAACCTATTCTACGCAGACGTAGTCGCGGGCAGCAGCTAGTTTACAATATTTATGATATTAGAACGTGTAGATAAATTAGTGTCGAAAACTTTTTGCGCGTTGCCGGGTGGCTAGTAACATACCCTGTAGGGTTTCGTCGTGACTATTTTAATTGTAAATAGACTCTTTTGATTTAATTTGGAATTCGATCGTTCACGGTATGAGCTACATTTTCCACCACATCAACCGTCAGTTCTCATTGAAACTGTACTCCAGTTTGGCGGGAATGTTCACCGAGGCTAAAGCACGTCTGGGGCAACTGAGGCGCGAGAGGCGCCTCCTCTACCGGCGCACCGCCTCCGAACTTCTCAGCGGCGTTCTGCGGCTGGTCGACGAACACTTCACAGAGTTGGACAGGAGGTGATATTTTTTTTATGCTAAAAGTTGTCAAACGAGCAGACGGTTCACCTGATGTTAAGTGATTACCGCCGTCCATGGACATCTGCCACACCCGAGGGTTATAGATGCGTTGACAACCTTTTGGAAATTGGGCTCCGGCTACCTCACTCACCAGACGAAACGCGAAAGTATTTGTCATACTTCCACTTTACGCTGGTCTTCTGTGACATCGTGGTGCGTACCCGGACGGGCCTGCAGATTCGTGCAACAGCCGAGGCTGCGCGGGACCCTACCATCGTTGGCAATTTAAAATGATAAAATAAATTAAGGTGTTGAACAGGAATAACCACTATAAATGTAATTGAAAAATTGTAAGAACTACTAAGTCAGTCACTAAGCTGTTTGGATAGTTAAATAACTATTATTTTAAATATACTAACATTTTTAAACTTGTGATATCTTTCGAATGGAATGTCCGAAATTAATAATTCGAAAAGTAATATAAAGCTATTGAAACAGTCTTTAATATGAAGTAATTTATTTTTATAAGGATTAATATCAAGATACAAATAAAGACCCTATTCTAGCGGCAACATTTCAATCAAAATTTTAAAATAAAAGAACACTTATTGTGACATAACTATAATAGTTAGACATATGCTCTCGCGACACTTTTTGGACATAATGATGTGTTCTGCAAATTCGTAGTACATTATTTTATTCTATCATTAATATTTTTCGCAGCGCACGCGATGTAAAGAATATTTTAGGTAATTTTTGTACACTTTGTGTGTTTTTGTACATTATTGAAGTTTCAGTAAGGATCCCTATTTTAAAAAAAATATAATATAGCCTATATCAAGCGGGGATAATGTAGCTTCCCAACAGTGAAAGAATTTTTCAAATCGGTTCAGTAGTTTCGGAGCCTATTCAATACATACAAACAATCAAATCTTTCCTCTTTATAATATAGAAATCTTTCCTCTTTATAATATAGAAGACAACATTTGAAATTCGAATTCAATAAATGTTTTTGTGACCAGCATTCAAAATTCAAAAGTTTTCATTAAGTGATAGAACTTATGAGCCGACTAGTTATATTTAGGTAAACCTGTATTTTTTTGCTCTCTGCACGAAGGAGAAGTCCAGCACTAGGCCAGCACTGGGACATATTAAAAAAGGCCGATTAAATAGCTTTTAAGCCCTACACAATACCCAACAGGCAACATTCACATTGACTTTTTCTCGTGCGTTAAAACGGCGATATCTCGCTTTCCATTCGAAGTGGGCCAGCGCAACGCGACTCCGCGCCGCCACGGTTCACTTGGGCCATCCGAGATCTGAGAGCAATTGTGAAACGAGACCAATCACTTTCTAAATATCATAATTATAATAAGTGTTACAATGAAAATTTATAACATATTTTGTAACTATTCAAATGATACTTGAAGCTATTCGATTGCTATTACGCCTCCCGAACAATGACATCTATTTACTAAATTAGTAATAAATAAAACCAGACGTGGCATGAGAACGCAGGACTTGTAACGTACCGATTCGTTATTAGTTTGGTACAGTAATAGATGACGATCCTTGGCTTTAAGATCGTCTAACAGAGGTTTTTTTTTATGTGAGGTGGCAAGATAGCTGACGGTTTACCTGTTGATAACTGATAACAGCCGCCCATGGACATTTGCAACACCCGTAGGGTTGCAGATGCGTTGTCACCTCTTAATAAATTGGATCCTGGCTACCTCACTCAACACACGAAAGGCAGAAGTGTAACACCAAAGAGAATGTAATCACTACATTTAAGAGACGGGACTCCCATACTAGCAAAAATTTCAGTTTACGCGGCACTCCAATACCAACCATACCACAAAGATGTCAAACAACATGAGTACCAACTAGTGCCACTAGCCAAATAGTGCTTAACCAAGCTAGCTTAGCTTCTTATCGATATCGATAAAAGATACCAGGTAGAAACCGAGGTTTCCACTTAATATTTTTTTTATTAATTTTAGTAGGTAAGTATCGAGTCCGTATTTATGTCCAATGTTGATAAGGGGATATTTGGTAGAAGATTGGAGTTTAATACGGACCCGAAATAAGATAAAAACGGTTTCTGTTAATTAAAATAAATTTTTATTACTGAAATGAAATTTGTTTCTTGATTCTTCAGCCAACAGCTGTTGTCCTGCTGTACACGAGTCTGGAAATAATTGAAATATAAAAACAGAATCAAAATCCAAAAATCAATTTAGTTTTCTTGCATACTCTGCGCACGAAATTAATTATATGACGTATCAATATTACAGAGATTGTTTCAAAATCCTGCAAAATACACCTATTCCGATCCTTGGTCATTTATGTAGGCACACCATTCAAATATGTAAAACTTTGTGCCCCTACTATTTCACGCAACATTTTATTTCTTATTTTTTTCAATGATAAACATTAACGTAGTTATCGATATGTGGATATTACAGTTGCAGTACATCACTAGCACAAAATTTAAATGAGATACATTTGTTAATTTTATTTGTTCTTAGTCTGCTCTACGTACATATGGCTGCAAAGTATCATATTTAAGTGCTTACATGGGCTTCATCTAAGGGAAATCTCGCCATAAACATCCTTTTTTCAAGATTCGAATGACTTGCTCGATTTTCACCAATTTCACAGGTCACCGTCTTTTTGGCATTTAGAAATAAAAGTACAACTCTGATCACCTGTCATTATTTTTCGTGAGAAAGTTTACTCTAAACAATGTAAAATTACAATGAAATAAGCATTTACATTCAAAATACGCGGTGCGAATTTAAATTTTGACAAACAACATGGCACTTCTTGTATTGCAAGAAAGAGAAACCGCATTGAGGGAGAGTGATAGCAATGTCCGCCATTATTTGCCGCGTAAAGTCCATTGAAAAATATTTTGTTCCTAGTTTCGCCAGACTGTGTAACACTTCCACTTGATGCCGGTCTTCTGTCAGCTCGTGGCACTTGCACGGACGGACCTACTCGTTTTTGCAACAGCCGAAGCAGTTGCGTGGACCTACCAGTTAATAAGCAAAAATGTAACTTACAAAAGTCTGTCTCGATCACGTGAAACCGAAACTGTAATCAATATTACTTAACTTCGACCGTCCTCCGTGAAATTGACACTTTACCGAATCGCCAATTCTCAGTACTATTTTTGGATACAGATCTCAGGAGATGGACGAACAGTTTATGAACGAGTTGAAGGAGAGCGCCCGCAAGCTGGTCCGCGACGACTGTACCAAGAAGAAGGCTATGGTCCGACTGCTACGGGAGGACGTGCAAGCCGTTATGGACTTAATCAGCAAGGGCGAAAAAGCGAAAATGCAGTGAGACTAAGTGCTTTGACTCACTGGTAAGTAGGTAGCTACTTGTACAACCATCCGCATCAAACCATCGATTGTATTGGATACAATATTGTATATATTTAATGGTGTGATGTTTAAGCTGAGATGTTATTTTTTTTTTGTAATTAGTGATTCGATTCTCCGGATGTGTTGAAATGATGTTTTATAATAATATAATTTGTGGCAGGATCCATAATAACATTATAATATACTGAATGTGTACTTAATGGTTAAGTGAAATAAATGTTATGATTTTTTATTACTTTGTTCGTTCTTATTGATGCTGTAAGTGCAACTTACCTTAACAACATTCTACATAATTATATGGAAACAACTAACGTTTATATCCTTGAAGTACTTCCCGAATTCGACGTACGGTATAATCAATCATACACAGTTCAGTTTATGGCACAAGCAGTGATTTTACGTGGTATATGATAAAAAATTGTATTAATTATAAATATATGGGGAAAGTCTATCGACATTTTTCCCATGTGTAAGTAAAGCTTTCAATGTGATTTAGTTCTTTAACCACAAATTAATGGCCACGTACCAACGCGAATGGGTATTACACAAGCGCTGGCTTTATTATGTAAGACGGTGGCAAGGTTCACCTGATGTTAAGTGATAATGACATTTGCAACAAGACTAGGGTTGCAGATGCGTAACGCCTTTTAATAAAGTTGGCTCCCGTTACTTCGCTAACCAGACGAAACTCAAAGTAAGGGGGAATTGTATAGAAAAAAGGATCACATTCTTATGCAACATAAATAAAACAGCGTGCTATCTTGAATTATTTATTACATCACCACACTTAATTATGACACATACGGGATGAAATACTTATTTTTTACAGTTCGTAAAACTAAGTCGATAGTTTTATTGGAAAGAACTGGCAAACAAAATCGGCGGTTTGTCACAATATCTAGCTTGAAGTGTGAAGTGTAGAGGATAAGTAGTATCTCAATGTATAGAAAGTGTCCACATAATGGGACTAGGAATACACTAAGATCGCCTTTCTGTAGCATAAGTTCCAAATTTCAAAGAAAACCTGAAAATAGGGTTTTGAAGAATAAAAATAGATTTGAATGAAAAACAAATCAAAAATATTGATGTCAAACTAAGTTTCTAAGCCATTAGCTTCCCAATTTTACGTTACATAATACAACCTTTGTGGACAATTTGCAGTTGAAAAAGCATATGAGATACGTTCACTTAGCTCTACGCTTCGAAGTTAAAAATAGTTTTAAGGAAATGATTGAATGTTCCAAGGAGATTTTATTTATTAGCAAAACAAAATACACGGAACAACGTTTTTCCTCTGTTGTTATAGTGATGGAATCGAAATAATGCATCGTGGATATGACAAACTGTTAGGAAAAAATGACCTACGTCCGCTAGTTATTCCTAATTTTAGCGCGTCGAGTTGAAATGGTTCGTCCCTGGAGGGGTATATAAACAATTGTTCCATACTTTAAAGCAAAATTCGGATTGCCACTACAAACTAGGAGCTATTAAAAAAAAATAAAAAATTCACATTGACCCACACTAGTCCATCACAACCACCTAATCTGATCACAGCTTTACTTTACACTTACAAATTACCACAATGTACTTTACACTTACAAATTACAAAAACACCCAACATCGGTCTTTCCAAAAGCCACAAACCCAAAGCGTTATTTCCTAAACACGGCGTACAAATGAATGTAATAAATTAGCAATAATAAACTAATTTTTAATTCATGGCGGGCACAAACTAAGTGAAATCAAACCAATTGCTTTTACCAATAGTTGTCACTATTTCATATTAAAACAACAGTTTTCAAAATAGGTATTTTATCCACTGCTGTTATAATACATAACAAATCAAAATATTAAGTAATTTACTTTCAGAAATTAAAATAATATTCCTGTGTAATAATCATATTAAATTTAAACACACACAAAGATGTGAAAAATATAGAACATAATATTAAAAATTTTAATGAGAGTTATTTGACTTAGAAAATTTGATGAACTAATATATTGTAAAAATTTCTCCACACACCTTTATAATACAGCACTTAAGAAAATTTTTTTTTTACTAACACTTACTTTATCAATAAAAATAATTTCTTTCAATAAGAGACACCCAAAGTTACGTATATATCATTCAACTTTAAAATCTCAATTGCATCACTTACGCCAATGTGTTACAAGTCTAATTTTTATAGTCAAATATTAATAAAAAATTATTTAAAATGAAAAATAAAACGACACTGAGAAATGGTTTGTAATGCAAATGCTTTTGTTTAGTTCAGTTTTAATCATTTTGTAATCACCTCATAATTTTCTTCATCTCAGATTTCAAGAGATAACACTAAATTTAAGATTATATTCATATTATTTAGTGACAATGTTTTAAATATCAATGAAACATTAATACAAATGGAATGCATGATTTTAAAGCGCAGCTAAATATATTTCCATATCTGTTGTAAACATAATAAAGTTACAAATAATATAGACTTTGTTTAAATACTTTTGTTAGATTTAAAAAAATGACTTAGGGCAATGTCATTTTACCAAACATGTTTCCAATTTATAATGATTTTCATCATCACTAAAATTGCATAATGTTCGCTGAGATAGTTGAAATGTATGAACACCTTATCAATAGTACAAGGTCTACAATATAATATAAAATCTTTTACCCTATCAGAGTTGGCAGACTGAGACAGCTATTGCTCATCCTGGTTTCGTCGAACTTAAATTTTACGTATATTGGAAATTTTAAAACAATTTACCCGTAACATTCTAGAATTGATAAAATTCAGCAGCATCGCTTTGCAAAAATTAAAAAACAGCAATGCTGCATATATATTTTTATTAATTTCAAATATTGGTTTAAAGTAATACTACAGCTACATTTTCCCTTTATAAGCCTACTTACAAGCTTGTAGTGCATGGGTGTTATTAAATACTTTAATGCTGCATGATTGAACATTAAGTTACAGACAAATTTTACTTGAAGAATAATTAAATTCCTTGGGTTATTTAATATATAGTTCTAATGAATACCTAAGACAGTGTCATATTTTTGTCATACTTCATCAAATAATTTTAAAAAACCAATAGTGCTTCATTAAAAGGTTTATCGTCATCATTAATATATATAAATCAAAATGTGTACCGTATATGTAGGCGCACTTTATGCATAGTATTTTTTATGAACATATAATACAAAGTACTCCAAGGAGCTTACACTAAAACCTGAAGACATGTAAACATTACAGTATGTGTTAGGCCTACAAATCTACGCACACATAAGAATCATGAATACTCCGACGCATTTTCAAATTACTCTTCAATACTATTACGTAGAAGTTATCATGCTTAAAGCAAGCACCGACGGAGGTAGGAAGAGATATTTACACACAAGTTACGCGTCTAAGTTAGAAAAACTAACAAGTACAAATATAGAATTTCTGGACCGAGTGAAGAATTAAGCTTTGGAAAAGATTAGCCATCCAACTAAGCCAAACCTTGGAAAACCTGCCAACAGGGGCGGGTAATTCTAGAAGTCAGTTGTCAACTTGCGTCAATCTCACCAAGATGGCGACTGTGGCACTTGTTTTCAGCTTTTCAAGAACAAGACTAGATATCGTGGTTTGATGAAGCTTATAAACGCATTTTTAAAAGCATATTATAGCAAACTATACATCTAAAGGTTTTGCTCGTTAACTTCATAATTGTCATACAATCGTTTAATGCCCGGTATTTAGAATAGCCGAACCACACCGACATTTCTTGCAGTAAATTTACACAATAATAATTTTTAAATTCTTCCCTGCGTTAGAATTTGACCATTAATGGTAACCACATATATCAAAGTCCACACTCGGTCTCCTAAGATTCTATGGCAAAGACAACTATATAAATCCGTTTCGGTGTCGATTCACTTACAGGCGAACATTACAAGCATAATAAAACACCAGGTAATCTAGTTGTACGCAGAGTAACCATACCACTCCTTCGTTTTCTCCTTTTCTCGGAACAGCACCTGTTTACAATTAAAATATTATTTAATAGCAAAGCTATGAAATAATGAATGAAGTACATTCCTTTAGGAATAATCGTTTAGTTTTATTTTAAATTTTGGAATGTACTCGTAAGTATTAAATATCAATTTTTTTTATTTTTTCTTTTTATTGTTTGTGTGTTCCTAACACTAGAAATTTCTAAACAAAGAATACACTTTATACTACTATAAATAAATAATATTTTTATTAACTATTAAATACACCCCAATTTATTTGTATTTGGCGCAAAACGTGGCGCAGTTGGCAAAGTATTGACTTCGGCGCCGGGGGTGGTGGGTTCGATTCGACGAGACAAACTATTTATGCGACCCACAGACGATTGTTTCGGATCTTGGTGTTTGTCCACTTCAAAATTTATGTATGTAAAACGTCCTTACAGCACAGGGCAATGCTATCCTACAGTAAGGGGGCGATGTTTTCGAAGGGAATACTACAGTACATCTTGTAGTAGGTCTCACTGGTCGGTGGCATTTACCACCCAACCCCTTCCACACAAAATACAAATAAAATTCCCGCTCACCTGCGAGGGGCGAATGCGCTCAGTGCTCCGTGTGGAACTGGTGTATGCAGAGGGCGCAGGACCAGGAGCCCTCTGGGGGCGCCTGCAGCGGCGGCGCCAGGCAGTACATGTGGTAGCCGCGGTCGCAGTCGTCGCAGAACAGCAGCTGGTCCTGGAAACGAGGGAGAGAAAAGGTGGCAAGCGAACAGGTGGTTGAAGCGAGCCGCCCATGGACCTTTTTTTTATTTAATTCAAAACTGACTAGCACTTGACTGCGATCCCACCAGGTAAGGTTAGGTTAGCTCAGTAGAAACCTATTTACTTTTGCCTTGAAGACGCCTACGTTGTATTCGGACGGAAAGACGGACGCCGGCAGGTTAATCTTCAGGCTATGCTTTGGCGTTACGTCCAACGATTGGAATAGCCGTCGATACTCTGGTTAGCAACACGAATGCACCACCTCCATAGACAAGCACCTTGGCGGTGCTTGTCTATGGAACCGCCCGTTCGGCTGGTTTCTTAGAATAAAAAAAATTAAAATCGTCTCACGTCATTGTCGCTGGTCCCGCAGACGGAGCAGCACTTGCACTCGATGCACTGCCACCGATACTTGCGCACCGACACGATCATGTTCACGGTGAACTGCAGGCACGTGGGGTGGCCTGCGAGCGAAAAATCGAGTCTCGGTTCGAATACGGTGGAGAAATAAAAAAAAAGAAAACGAACGGTGCGACGCGGCGGGTGGCGTTGATCGATCTATCGCTTCGATTTGTACATCGATATCGTTTACGATGATCGAGTGGACGGGAAACTTGATGTATCGAAGAGAAAAAAAGAAATCATCAATGTTTTGGCGACATTGTCTGTATACATCGCGGTTGTTGATCGTGATATGTGATAAAGGCAAACGGTACGACATGAATCGATAAAGAGCACTTGTACATGCGACACTAAACTATGTACTGGCAACACAAATCGTATTTCGATCAACGCCATCTCACGGGCGTCGCGGGAAATTTTCACGTATTGCAGGGCACATTTCTTACCTCGTGTCGAGCGTTCGCGTCCACCCGCCCGCCCTGGGCGTACGCAGGCGTGTACGGAACCATTAGGTAATACTAGTTAGGGGACCGGGTAACGTATGTGCCGAACAATAGTGAAAACAAAAGGAAAAGACCGCGGGAACGGAGCCCCAAAGTGACGCGATCGGAATAGCCCACGCGTCTAACGTATTCTTATTGGTTCTAAAGTATCGAAATATCCGTATGGAAGTGCACGACGGCTTCACTATTCTTCAGCACAGCACAATGAAACGCCATTTGGACTTTAAACTCTCGCTTTAATGTTTTATGTTTTTTCTCGTCTCGTTTACAATATACACTTGTTTGTGTCACTCGTATGTGTATGTGTGTGTGTGTGTGTGTAGTAGTAGTAGGTACGGATAAGGCGACTTAAACTAGCGCGCACGGTCCGCGAAATCATTTCGAGCCCCAAAAAACGCGATATCTCAAATTCCTTCGATAAATTGGAAGATTGTATTGAAGACGCTACTACGTTGTTTTGCTGACGCTACTAAAGGTGAGCAGGCGACACTTGTCGAGATGGTTTCGCGGACCGTCGTTTGACTGAAGCAAATGAGAACCAAAAAACTATAACATATCTTTGGGCGTCGCTACACAAATGCACTTCCGTACAAACATTTCTGATACTTTGGAATAATCTAAACATTGGGGGTGACATCACAGGATTATATATATATGATGCCATCGAGTATACAATTATTTTTAACATATGCTAACATATTGCTGTATCTTATAAAATTATATTATATCTACGTAATAGGAGAGAAACAATCATAATATGCTTACATAAATCACGAAAATAAAATTAAAAAAGTAACTGCATTTTTTATAAAATAAAATTATAAAATTTCCACTTATGATGATATAAGGACCAATACAATCATAATTATCAACAAGTATAACTTTAGATTTTAATATAATATATAGCAGACAATTATTTCAACCTCCAACAATCCAGCTCACACACGCATACGTATAATTTTATATGAATTTTACGTTTAAGACTCGTACGAAAATTCACATAAAGTCACACACAGTAAGGCACCGAACAAGACAAATCTATCCTTTAAGTTGGCTGCATTGAACGTGTTAATGGACATACTTCTGGTGCCAAAAAGAAGCTAATATATTTATTTATAAGTTTCAACAATTCCACTATGAATAGTGACAACATTTAATCATAAAATGTCAGAGGTTCAATTAAAATTACTACTACTTCAAGCGGCTTAAATTGGTAACTAACAACTATACATATATAACTAAGATACAACTTAAAATAACGCATATAGAGATATATTTCGAATTGTCATAGCGCACAAACGACTGTAAATATAACATAATTAAGACTTAAGTTTAAATATAATCATTTATTTCACAGAAAAATACGCAATATAGACTTAAAAGTGATAAACAAAAACAATATAGACTACAGGAATGATAGAATTCAATAGTTATCTATAACGATATAATTAGTCTTTTGTCAAAAACTAAAAAAATATAACGAAAACATATCTTTATATTTACTATAACATCGGAGCACCCGTATAGATTTTTGTCGACCACTCCTTTTGCTCAAAGACGCGATGGAATTTTATAAAGAGCGACAGAGGTGACAATATTATTTAGTGTCACATGAAATCTACGAAGTCCGTTCTAAAATTGCACATGTAATTCTAATTAAACGTGAAATAGAGCTCATTTTCGGTCGACAAAACCCACACGATGCCGCCGACTTGTTGAATTTTATCTTTGGATAAGCTTCAATATTCGACACGAACATAACAAACAAACACCGAAGTCCTTACGCACAAAACTCAGAAAGGCACTTTACAAGCTCTACAATTAATTATCAATATAGTTAATCAATATTGCCCTTCTGATATGTTGTTCAAATGATATGGGAGATGTGTTCAGTTCAGAGTCATATATTACTGATTTATTTACAAATCGCTTTATAATCTGATACATATCAAGCCAAAAATTAATATAATAATAGAATCTGATTATGTTAAAAGCACTTTTGATATTTTATGTGCATGTATGTTGTTCATTGAATTATTTTTAAAACAATAACAAGATTGTACTTTTCTACTGATTTTTGTATGCAATTTACATAACGAATATAATGAACAATTCAAAACACGTAAGCGCATGTGCATAATGAGTGTAAATAAAACATTTCAGTATCACATACATAAATATATATGTGGAAATATAAAGAAAAAGCGAAACATCCATGAAAACGTCGGCGTGCATTAAATAATGACATAATTTGGTGATATGTGACTAGAAAAGCTAGGATCAGATGTATTTGGCTCACATCAATTTGTATGAAACTATATTATGGTACGCGCATAACTTAAACGCGCCTCTGAAGTTGGTCAAGATTGAGAGTATCTTAAAAGACATAGGGGGTGCGGGGGGAGGCTATTGCCCTCTCGCTCGCACAGTACCCAATTCTCCTTCTGTCCCTCTCCCGCCTTCGTGTACACTTGCGGACAGATTTGTCAGTTGTCTCATACATTGCTGTGAACACTTATCTTACAGATACTTTATGGTTAACTCTGAATCAATTTCTCAATAAACCAACTACGTTGGGGAGCGTTTGAGTTTTGCGCGAACTGTGTATTGCTTACATTACCTTCACACAATGTCGTATTCGACACAATACAAGGTCGGTCTCAAATGTCAACATCATAATATCATAAAAAATAATGTCCCGTCTTAAAAATGTTTATATTTCTCCTTAAAAAATGATTGCAATATATTGCTGTCATTTTCCAAATTACGTTTATCTATCATTATCGACCAACCTGCACGAACCCAAATGTGGTACTTAAATTCACTACAACAGTTGTATGAATGTCTATCTATCTATCATTAGACTTAAAAACTCTGTTAAAAAGGATTTAAAAAACCAAAGGCACAGACACAAGGCTCCGAACCGAACCGGAAGTCCGATTAATGCCTAAATTGAGATAAAACAAAACCACTTAAACATTACAACAGTTTACACATTAATATTTTTCATTTGGCATCCAAAATCGATAATGTTTAGAAGTAAAAAATACCTCAAAATGGCCTCAATACGATCACATTTAAATTTGAATAAATTTACACTGTACCAAATATATTATGTATAAAATTTTCATGGTCAATTTTAAAATTTTGAAAACTTCAATTTTCGATCATTTGGCATTCGATAGGATTTGGAATAACTGTAAATATTTGTAAATAACAATAACAAAATGTAAAAATACATAATGCCACCTACTAGTGGGCTATAAACGATAATAGTAAATATTTGGATATCTACACTATAATTATTCAACACTTCGACGCGATGAATCAATATGATTTATGAAAGTACACGCGAACATGGGACATGTTAACATAGACTAACCCTAATGTACCTAAAGTACGATGTATGGAATGTTATTCGGATGCATTCGTCTCGCTTTCAAAAGTTAAAAACGGTGTGATGTATGTAAGTTGATTACTTTAACGGATTGACCTATACGATAAATATGTTAAATTTCAATAATTGTATATTTCAATTTGTCGAATTGGCGGTCAATGTGTTCATGGGATATGAAATCGGTATCTTAGAATTATCAAAGAAATTTTCTTTATACAGCGTGTCTTTACAATCGCGACAATAAATGAACACACATATAGAGGATAAATTTTTAAAATTTTATTAAACATTTACAATCTTTAAACATCAATATTTACCGAGTTATTGAATTTTCAAAAACAAACAATTTTAGAACACCCCTACGTATAAAACTGTAACGTAAAGGTCACAAAGCATATGAATGGGTTGAATGTATTTAAAAGAGACAAAACATACTGTGAGAAGGAGAGGCTTGTAATGCGACGTTGTGGCAACGAATGAAAGTCTCTGAATGTATGAATCAGTCAGTTGTAGTTGTATATGATGTTAACTAATTATGACTTAATTAGTTTGTTTGAAATTTTTTTTTAAATATGGATTTTTTTACGTTAATATTTTTTATGATTATTGGCAATTAGCGTTAGACGTGTATTCATTTATTGTCGCGGTGGTAACGACACGCTGTATATTTAGTTTTACCTTTACATTACATACATACATTTACTCACACATACATAAATCTAGCTATAGATCTAGTTAATGGCTGTCGAATACAAAAGATTACAAACTTATTACCATATTCACTATTCAAGTGCTGTTCAAAACAATATAGTCATACTAGTGACGAACTGCCGGATGGGCAAAAATAGCCCGAAACCCCTTTGAAAGAAGGGCGATTTTATAACGGAGGAATAGTCGGTCCAAAAATCCTATGTTAAAACGCAAATCTTTGGTAAAGATGGACAACGCGCAGTTTGTGACCGATAGGGGGACGAATACATTGTTACTCATACATCAGCATATTGTATCATCTTTCAATAACAAGCTGTAGATAGTTGTCGCAAACACTACTGTATATATTAAATTTATCTATTAGTCTCGCAGTTGAAATATGAAATCTCGTTTATAGGATTGTTACATATAATATTCGATCGAACAAAAACTGCATGGGCATACATGTATACCATTCTAGGTAGAGTCTCATACTGAAAAAAATAATCAACTCGAAATACAACATGTTAAAATAAGTGTAAATTTAGCCTTTTTAATTCGTTAACTACTCTGCTCCTGGATTACCACCAACCCTCTATACAGTGACTGAGTTCGATTGATGAGCACGCGCCGATAATCGTTCAGAGCGGGCGCGTTTTCGTCGTTCGATAAGCATCTGGGGACTTCTACGATTGACCGGTCGCGATCGTGATTGAATAAATAAATAAACTTTAAGAACACAACACCCGCCCAGTCCTTGACGACGCCCAGGCAAATATACAGGTTGAAATAAGTTAGTTTTTGACGAAACAAAACAACGTTACTAAAAATGGTTGGCCACCCCTGCAACGAGACAGACGTGGGCGCTCCGGCTACCGTTTTACGGACTCTCGCGCGCCGATCTAGAAGCTTCTGGAAGTTTCTAGAATCTCTTAAAACTTTCCGCCACCGAGGGAGCGAGGCGCGCTTAGGGGCAGTTCAGTTCCGCGCCATGGTCGCGCGCAGGGCTCTGGCGGGATGAGGGGGACGAGGCTTATTCGGTCGAGCTCGATACATTTTTGAGGACACAAAAAAAAAAAAAAAAAAAAACAATGCAAAAAAAGGTTGGCCACCCCTGACACGATGGAAATGCTGTTATAGCTCAGTGTGCGTTTCCAGACGTTAACCCCCCAGAAGCTCAGCGCCGTTGACGTGCGCGGGGCTCTGGCGGGAGGACGAGGCGTATTTGGCCGAACTCGGATATATTTTACACGACACAAAAAAGGGGATGAAAAAAAGGTTGGCCACCCCTGACACGATGGAAATGGTATAACACGGCGTGCGTTTCCAGAGGTTAACCCCCCAGAAGTCTCCGCCGCGCCTAGGGGCTGCCCAGCTCGGCGCCGTTGACGCGCGCTGGGCTCTGGCGCGCGGAGGGGGGCGACGCGCACTCGCCGTACTCGCGCGCGCGCAGCAGCTCGCTCTGCGTAGCGAACGTGTCGAACTCGTCCGCCGGGTAGGTCATCGAACCGGTCGCGGTCGTTGCCTCGACCACCTGGCAGGTCATCGACCCCGTGGCGGTGGTCTCGACTGCCACCGGCCGCAGCGCCCTGTGCCGCTCGCACACCCTGTTCGCGAGGTGGTAGCAGGGCGGCGGGCGCCGGTGGCCGTTCCTCGGCGGCCGGCCGCGCCTCTTACCTGACCGTCCGCAGTCCGAGCAGCTGACCAGCTCCTCGGGCGTGCCGGTCTTCTTGTTCTCGCGGTCGTCGCCGAGGCAGAAGTCGCAGTACGGCGACGGCGACGCCTGCGCGTTTACAATACGGCTGTTAGTAACGACTGTTAGCATACGCTTGTGACAGGAATGGGATATTGAATTGAGAATTTCGAAAGTATTTTTGATGAAAATTTGTTAATCTAGTCGCTAAGTTTAAATTTTGTAGAAAATATTGACGAAACGTTTTTCGCCGCTGCAGGAATCGAACCCACATCTACTCACAACCGGAATCGCGCGACTAGACGCTTTAGCCAATAAGCTAAATTGCCGTTTGTCACGGAGACTAAAATCGCGACATCGATAATATTTTATCTACATTTTTTTTCTATTCTAAGTAATTCTTGGCGCGTCCATAATTTTTTATTATGGCTTTTAAAATTCATTTAAGTGCAGATGTTAAGAACTCCAAAAACTTAACATTAAATTTGATCACTAATTGTTTTATATTGCACTGCATATTTTATTCAGGTACACACAACACCAGAGATGTCACCGGCATGTTCTTATCCACAGCGTAAGCAGCCCTTCGATTACCTCATTCGCCGAAACGTGAAAGTGTTAATATTTTTTACTGCACATTTCTATTCTGTTTTTATACCGACCATGGCACTTTCTCAACCGATCGAGGTGGATGTTACGTTCTCTTATAAAAAAATGATGTACCTTAGTCTCTGGTTCCTTCAGCACGGGCAACACAACCGGCGTGGAGGGGGCGGCAGCGGGGGTGGATGGGGCGGCGGAGGGCGCAGCGGAGGAGGTAGCGGAAGCGGCAGCGGTTGGAGTGGCGGGGCCGGGGGCGGGAGCGGTAGCGGAGGCGGAGGCGGAGGCGGCGGCGGCGGCGGCTGCGGTCCCCGGCGGCACGAGGGGTGCATGCGCAGAGTCCGAGGAGGACGTGTCCGCTGAGGCGGGGCGGGGCGGGGGCGAGGGCTTGCGCGCGGGCGGAGCCGCCGCGCCAGCTGTCGATCGACAGAGCACAATCAAATATTACAGCATCCTGTAAAATTCGTCGCTAATAAATATATTTAACTCTTCAGAATCCAAATGGAACAAGCAAGCGCTGGTCTTATTCTTTGTTTCATTTAATATTCCGAATCCTATGTGATTGAAACATGAGCTTCGACTGTTCATCTTCACCAAAAAAAGTATGCCACTAGATCTGGAGCATGTTAACCACATGTTAACATGCTTTTGCTGAATTCTACCTTTGATTATTCTTCCCCACACAATTGTATTCATTATTCGAAATGTTCGCCGAGTTCAAATCCCGGTGCCAGCACCGATGAAATTGTTAATTTTAAACGCTGACTTATCACGTGGTCGTCGGTGAAGGAAAAAAATCGTGAGGAATCGTACATTTTCGAAATAATAACAAAAAATAGTGAAGTATGCCAATCCGCAGTGGACAATACCCTTATATTCAATATAGGCTGATACTGGACGATAGCTACTTACGCGTGCCCACCGCTGGGTTGTTGAGGAAGGTGACGTAGCTGTCCTGGTACTCCGTGGCCGGCTGGGGCACGGCGGGCGGCGTGTGGGCGCCGGGGCGGCTGTCCCGGGAGTCCCCGTCGCTGCAGGCGGCCGGGGCGGAGCCCGAGGCGGCGGCGCCCGCGCCCCCGCCGGAGCCCTGCCCGTCCTTGTGCGTGTGCGTGAAGTGGTACGTCAGCCCCGGGCGCGTCTTGTACTTGGCGCCGCACACTGTAACGCGAGCGCCTTTAGTCACTTTCACGATTGGTCCGGTTAAGCATATGCAGGGTAGGAAAACAAGTTATCGAGCTCTTTAGTCACCCTCTCGACTGGTCTGATTAAACATGAGGAAATTGTCGAGCGTACTCGACAATCTCCGGTCTCTATGTGTTCGGCGAAAATAGTCCCCTCCTTTTAGTTTGCTTTTGGCGTATATCGAGGAGTCGACAATCAATATTTTATAGCCACTTCACAATGCTAAGTGTTGTTAAAAATAATTTTATAATTGTACCGAGAAAAATTAACTTTATGTGCTTTTTGAGAGCAATTAGGTTAATTTACACTCAATCACGTTACATCATATTGAAAAACTCCAGCGTGGACAGTGAGACGCAAACACATCTTCCAAAATGTGTCCCGAGCAGTAATCAAACCATCAACTGTATGCCTTAACTACACTATGATATCTTAAAATTTAGCTTAAGCGGCCGCACTCAGAGACTCGAGGATTGGCGCCGACAATATCGCTCGATCGCAAACTTCAGTGTATAAAACTCATTAGTATGACAGCATTTGCGCATACACGGATTAGATTAATCGACGTCTCCGAGAGCGGCCGTAACAAGATTAAACTGGCTCATTACTCACCGTCTGTGGTGCCTCCGTCTGCCTTTTGCTCGCACGTTTACGCGTCAAACGAAACCCGAACGGAAACGTGGGAAAATCGGAAAGAGGCCCGCACTCTTTCTCTTTCTCAGTATAGGGGGTGTGGCGAGAGGTCTACGTCATCAGAACAGAGCATAGGAGGCACCACGACGGCTACAGGTGTACCGACATTGCTGCGCAGCTCTCCATAGTTTTTCGTCATCAATCAATACCTTACATTCGAGAAACGTGGGATTTCACGAAGGCCGCGAAACACTACCGGTTCAACAAATAACCTTTCCTCCTTGTACGTTATTCTATTCGTCAAATTCAGATTGAATCGCCAAATAATATGGACAACCGGACAGTGTTTCGAGGCGTTACACTGACGGCCCGTCGTGAGTGGTCTATGTTCGGTTCTAAAGACGCAGCCTCCCGTGGGACTAGTTTGATTGATGACTTCAAATCGATGGATCTGCTCGGCTCATTGGTGGCAAACATGCGAAAGGGAAAACTGAACACATTTAAGGAAAATCATGCTTATTTTTAGTTTCGCAAGATGAGATCCAAACTTGAGAGTCCAATCAAATCGCTCGATGATTGAAAAAGCACTTCGTTTAGACTTGCGAAGAAAATCTCCGTGACATATTAATGGTGTTTCTTTAAGGTTGTGTGTATCGTGTGCATCCAGGTAACAAGATTGTAAGCTTGTGACACGATAGGACTTGGATGGACAGGTTTACGTGTTAGGCCCATTGCCGCAGACAGTTTTGATGATTTTAATTATATATGGAAGTTGTCGCGAAAATTTTTCACATTTTTTTGAGACTATCCAAAAACGGAAATCAGAACATTATGACAACATTCCCTGAGCAAAGAAATGTTTTCAACCATTGAGCGTCTACGTAATCAACATAAAAGAACAATTTTCACCTTGCATACTTTTATTTCTTATTCAACATAAATATTTTTTTTTGTATAAATTCATAACAATCTTTGGGTGCTAATAAAAGTTTGGATCTAAGAACAATGTAGTCTAACGCTCCTTCGATTCACTGCTTCTTAGTGATTACAATAAATTATCGTTTACACTTAGCCAAACTCATTAACATTAATCGTAGCAATGACCAAAATTTTACCACAAATGAAAGTGATATTTGTTAAATAAAAAAAAATCTTTCCAAATAACGCATACAAAATATGATTCAAAATCCAGTGAATTAATTTCACAAACCAATACTTATAAGGAATATTAAAAGCACAACCATCATAATTTACTCCACATTTTAGAAATTTTATCACCGATGCTCGCTGAAAATTGGAAGACAAACAATTCCAATCGCTCCAAATAATATTAATGATTACAAAACAATTGAGATGTGATTACAAATTTGGCAATGTCACAACTCCTGTGTCCACGGAACGTGCATTGTAAAACTTTAGCCATTGCGAGGAAACTACAAGATATTAAAAAGTAAAAGAGAAGAGAAAACATATAATAAATAAGACTATCACAGACACTTGAGTCGAAACACATTCAAACCAACCAGTGCATATTAAATTATAAGAATTGTGATCATTTCATAACACTTAATTTAGAAGATTGCTGGCATAAGTCTGTGAGTGAATACATTTACTACATTTATCATATAGTTAAATATAATTTCTATAATTAAGTATGATTCTTTACAAATGATATTAAATAAAAAGATGTTGACTGGAAGTTGGAACCTGTCATGACAAATTTAAAGACAATGGCCAGGGAAAATATGAATATCAAGTTTTAAAAGCACTTTTTAATACTAAATTTTCCTTTTGATGATACACAAGCTCTCTATAACAACTATTGCAATGAATCTGTATTTGAGCATTTCGTAAAAATAAATGTTTTTTTTTAATTCACGCCAGAATAAATGTCTACGGCCATATAAATTTGAGTAGACTAACAAAATATTTATGTTATTTATATTGATTAACTGAATATAGAAAACGACACTATTTGCTTCATTTGTGTAATGAGTTCTATTATACTTCCTTCAATTATAAGACAAACCACTAAAGCAATTTTAAAAACAATCATTAAAATATTTGCTAGATTTGTTTAGCTGAGAAGGCACAATATTTCATTGAACACAAGATATACTACCTTTAAGTTGTATACACTCCTACATATTAAATATTATTATAACATAGGAATAACATAAAACCAGCTTAACATTAGCATCTTAAAGCAGACTAAAGATGTAATCATCCTTACTAATATTATAAAGGCGAAAGTTTGTATGTATGGATGGATGTTTGTTACTCTTTCAAGCAAATACTACTGAATTAATTTTAATGAAACTTTACAATAATATAACTTCTACACCAAAATAAGACATAGTCTATAATTTATATACATATTTTTCTGTATATCTGTCTCTCTGTCTGAATGTTACCCGTTCAGCCTACTCTACGCAAACATAGTCGCGAGCAGCAGCTAGTATTTGATAGAGGAAAAAAAAAGATTAAACACCATATCATATGATGGATGTATGAAATTACTTTCAATATTAAAATGCATGAAACCATCAACATAATTATACTTGTATGGAATTTAAAAATACAAATAAAACGCAGCTTGCACATTTTTCTCAACCCCTTCACTAAGTCAGATGTCATAGCCCACATTTGAATAGGGATTCATTGAAAAATAAGCAATTGCTATGTGTGATGTATCACAATTAATAAGACCCCACAAAGCTCTCACTGTATTTAGTGCAGACCTACAGAGATTTCTAAAAACAATTTAATATTAAGTTACAATAAAGTACTTGCTAATTATAATTCTACATCGTATTGAAAATTATATATAACAACAAACTACTCTAGGCTTCTCCCAAAAGTTTGGCAGTGTTTTGTATCCCTTTGAAACCATAAATATTAATTATTTTTTAACATTCATTATATTTTTGTTTAATTGGTTAATTTAAAATTATCGTGCGTAATTTTCGACCCATAATAACAATAAGATACATGTTATAGTTGTTACACATATATAAAACACTATGTTTTAATTGACTGATTCCAATATTGGCGATTTTTATAATAATATTAAAATTGTAGTTCTTAATCCGGTGGTCATTAATTACTGAAATGATGCCCCATGTGCTTTGGTTCTTAAAAATGTGTTCAAGTGAGTGATGTTAGAAGATTTAAAATAATTGCAATCAAAATTATTAAGATTCACCTAACACTAACTCTCCATAACACTAGATTAACTTACTTTTAAAGGAAAAATCAAATATACATAAATAGAATAGAAAAGAATAGAAGGTGCACATCATCTAAACCACAATAATGTAAAAATAACACTTATTTAAGGAAGATGAACCTAAGACCTCTACTTAACATGTTAAGAGATGCTTTCAAATTATCTATTAGCTCCCATTATATTCCCTAAGCTTGCAAACCAAATAACTCTCCGAGATTCCTACAATGCTACATGCAAATAACTAAGAAAGGGATGTTTGTACCTCTTTAGCATATGATCAACTAAAGGGCGACAGTATTTAACATATATTGATTTTTTCAATTAAGAATCCTAAAAATAAATATATTAAGGTTATTTTAAAGGTATGGCTTACCCAAAATATTTCAATTATTAAAAAAATTCAAATATTTCAATTTTAAAAGATAATCGATTGTCCAAAAATATACAACACAGTAATGGTATAACTAGAAAGTATATTTAATGTAGGATTATTAACTTTCACTTTCAAGGTTAAATTGGGAAAGTTCTGCCATGAGTTCATCTAAATTGTAATTTGTAGGAAGTAGAGATGAAAAATGTTTATTATTTTACTCCACTTAAATAAAGGGGTAAAATTGTACCCTTCTTATAACTTCACAAAAAATTTAATAAATTATCAACTAAATTTTAACTATTCCAAAAATTACTAATGTTACCATTTCTATATGAATTGATTTGAATTTTAAATAGCTGCTTTTGTAAAAGAATTATCATTTTGATAAAAAAATACATTCATATTGGCAACGGTAACACCAATTTTTTTTTTTAAATATTACTTTCTCAATAAGTTTTTTTACTTATTATCATAATTTCTTGATTGCAATAAATACTTTGTTATCTTATGAAAATTTTCTGTATATAGTGAACACAATTTTTAAAATACCCCTTAATAACATTTTCTATCCTTTTACTATGGGCTATTATGGGCTATACAAAATGTAAAAACAGCAAGTCAATGGGGCATGCCTATTAACTTCTAAAACTTCCACTAGCTTCTTAGTTATACTGACAATTTTTTTTAATTTTTAGGGGAAAATAAACATTTTTGTCATAATTTTAGTTTCTGAACTTATGACCTACACATTTTAAGCTTTGTCTCCCTAAAATATTTAGCGTATATTGCTATTGCTGTCAATATTAATTGTATATAACACTTTTGTATCAGTCTAAACAAACCAGTTGACATTGTCTCTGTTTCTACATTCAGCATTAGTTTGTAAAGTTTCTAATAACTTTATAGCTTACTTGAACATAAATTTACAGCTAAAAGTCTGGACAGTTATATTAGATTACAATTGATAACTAAAATCTTTTTTTTTTTTTATATTTATCTAGACATAGTAAATGTAGTGAAGACAATATAACATCTTATTTTAACATTTATTTCCCTTAGGAAATGATATCTAATAATAGTGTTTATTCTCTCATCTGATCTTTATGAATTTATATAATTTTGAACACAATATATATTTTCGACTGGATGAGAAAAATTGTAGTTTATTGGCCAGTTTCAATAGTCTATCTATCTGTAGATTTAGTTACTAGCGATAGGTATTTGACATAAGCTCCATAATACTTATGTCAAAATTCAATCTGTAGTAACCATATCTACAGGTAGATAGAATATTGGAACTGGATGTTAATAACATACAGACAGGCATATAAATATTGTTTTAATCCACTGAAGTCTCAATTATTTTTGTTTGCAGCGCAACCTATTATCATTCATAAATTAGTATCTTTTCAATTAAATATCAAAAGATTAAGAAATAAATGTATTTCTTGTTTGGAATTATTAAATTTTATCCATTTAAGAAATAGATCTACTGATACATATAAAATGTACTGTAACCAAAGACAAATTCTAAATCCTCCAAATTTATGTGTGTCTAAGGAGACCAAGCAAGTTCTTGATACACGATACAAAACAAGCAATAAAAAGAGAATATTAAATCCTCCTCCCACAATTCAATTTTCAGCAAAATCACTTTAATAAAGACAGAAAATAAAAACAAATATTAAAACTCAGGTCCTAATTCAAAAAGTTAATATCTATTGAGCAAATTTCTTACTATTTTCACAAGAGGTATATTATCCCTTCTATTACAAGACAAATCACTTAAATAATTTTCTATGGACATATTAACACACCTGACATAATCGTTAATGTACTAAAAAAACTATTGTGATCATTTATACTAACAATCATCCATAGAAAATTGTTACACCAATGTTCAATAGCAGTGTACACAGAAATCTCAATTTGCTCAATTTTATTCTCAGATAATTAACTATAGAAAATAAATGCATGATTATAATTACAAGAATTCTTTTAAAATGTTATATTTTCTTAATATATATAAGAACATTACCTAGTTTTACATTTAAGGCACTACAACCACTTTCACATCGAGGAACAATCAAGTTATATTTATGTGGTAGATTTTTCTCTCTCTGATTTAACAAAAGCACAACTGAGATCACTGTGCACACTGCTTTAGACAAAATATTGCACATGAGGCAAGTGTTTTATAAAAACTAACGGAACTTTAAGCTCTTGATATGGTCGCTAATTCTTACAGAAAATATGAGGTCAGTCTATGCAAGTTTTATTTGGTATTACACATGATCCTTTCAACTGGTTCTATTCTGATCCAATACTGCTGTTCAACTTCGTGTAGCTAAATGCCTTAATGATAGGGAATTAGTTTTCCACTGATGTAGTTATATACAAAGCAAGACTTCAATTTGCAGATCATATTCGACAATGATTTGATGAGTTTCCACTCTATATACAATTAAACGGCAATATACAGATTAACGGCATTTAGCTACAGCTACTGTCATACAGACAGTTAAAGTGGACACCTATTTTTATTACTAGATAACAGGACCTGAGGTTTGAGACCGAGAGCTAGTGTTTTCTCCTGTTGGACTTACGTTCGCATCCATACGGTTTCTCGGCATCGCCGGGCACTTCATATGGCAATGTGCCTTGACCTGCCCGCTTTCGGCCCCGGCCCTGCACAGATACAGCGCGTTTTTTAATCATGTCCCGACGAACATGCTGTACACCTGTGATGACTATGGTAGGGCCACGCAACAGCCTCTGCTGTTGCACAAATTGGCAGGCTCGTCAGGGGGAGTACCACAACCTTACAGGAGACCTGCGTGAAGTGGAAGTTATACTTTCGCGTTTCGTCTGTTGAGTGAGTAAGCCAGGGCACACATTTATAAAGGTTGATAACTCATCTGCAAGCCTCTGAGGTTCTGTAGATGTCGGCAGTAAGCACTTCTGGTAGACAACTTTCACATAAAAAAATGACGCACAGCATCATTTTTTTCGTGGATCCCTTCGCCTTGATCATCAGATGAAATGCAAGCATAAGCATGTCCACTTTAAGCTGATAGTGTGCTGAAATACTGCCGAGATACTGCCCCAACCAAGCCGGCACATTCATGCAACAGCAGAAACTACTGCATGGCAGTAATACAATGTAACATCTAATAAATCTAATATATCACCTATAATCCTTTTTTTTTATGTGAAAAGTTGCCAAACGAGCAGACGGTTCACCTGATGTTAAGTGAATACCGCCGCCCATGGACATCTGCTACACCCGAGGGTTACAGATGCGTTGACAACCTTTTGTAAATTGGACTCCGGTTACCTCACTCACCAGACGAAACGAAAGTATTCGTCATACTTCCACTTTACGCTGGTCTTCTGTTAGGTCGTGGTACTTACCCGGATGGGCCTACACATTCGTGCAACAGCAGAGGCTGCTGCGTGGCCCTACCACTGTTAAATATAAAAAATATAGCAGTATATATACTTATATAAGGCAACCATGAAATATATCAAATTCCAGGTTTTGCTTCCCCCTTAATATATGAATGACGTATTTAATTTTACTTTAAATTATTAGTGTACAGTGTATTAAAGACACGATCGGAATTCGGACCCTGATTCCAGAGATTTCTATTAAAAAGATGAACGAAATGTTAATTGTTTCTAGAATGTTTTAGTTGCAAAGGCGATAGAAATTCGGGCTATAAAAGGGGCCCGGAGTGCGTTAGACGGGCAGTTCAGCAGTAACTCAGAGAAGAATGAATAATAGAGACAGAAGAGTGATGTGACAAGTGATGCAAAGGCGCAACGAGAGAGTGGTTGCACCTGTAGTAAGTGAGGATTGGAGCGGTATCAAGATAGATGAAGGGCACGTTTGTGCGCGTCAAAATAAAGGGAATATTTAAACGACTGGCGTTTCAATGCAATCCCGAACACCTAGCTCGGTAACAATATATGTATTAGAGTAAAAAAGTATATAAAAACCTATGTCAAGTGATAAAAGGTCACTTCATCACTTACCGCGCGGCCACGCTTAGCTGGTGTGTCGTCGGGCTGCTTGTTTCCTCTCCTGCCGCCACGGGATCCCGGACCGGTAGGGGCTACGCCCCTCCTTTTGCGGCGGTTCGCATAGGTATCGTCGTAATAATCTTCATCCGACTCTGGGTCTGGTTCCTCGCCAGTCTCCATTTCCTCTATTGCGAGGTCATCATAGAACCATTCCTGAAGGGTTTGTGACTAAATTGAAATGATAAAAAAACTACAAAATGGTTTGTGACTAAATTTAAATGTAAATAAGTTTTTTTATAACCACACGGCTAATATTAGACAACAATCCCACTCGATGTTAAGTGGTGATATGATTGTTGGGGTAGACAGAATAATTACGTAGAAATTATACAAAATAAAAAAACCCTGAGAAATATTACAGATTTTACCATTTATTGAATCCCATTATCATACACCAATATTTACTAGTTTTTAGTGTTTGTATTTTTTACTTTCAAAAATTTTTATATGGTATACATAAAGTAATAGTTAATGTGTCCTATGTATGAAAGTAGAATAAGGAGCTATCTTACCAATCATAATTAAAGCTTAAGCTCGAAGACATGTGGATAATATTGGCAATATCTATCGAATACTATTCTGATACAAATATATATTATAATACTATTCCGATATAAAATACTATACCATATGTAGCATTGAGAAAATGCTTTCTCCAAGTTATAGAACAGAGTGACATAAAAGCATTAACCATTTGGTTATAGTTAATAATACCCTCTATGTTATAAATTTGTGACAAGGTATTAAAATTACCTTTGGATCATCTTTGGTAGCAGTCTGAGAGCCATCTCGACTGTCATCTCCAGCAAATGCATCTCCTGGTATGCCAGAGCTGTTTTCCCCTTCGCCAACATTCTCCGCAGCATCCAACGCACTCCAACCCCATCGTGTTGAAGACATTGTCAAGTACTGACGTCGTGCTTTGCGCCATCTGACAAAAATCATTATTAATATGCTTCAACTATTAGATATAGACATGATAGGTCATGGTTTAGGCGCTTGCTTTTAATTCAATGTACATGAACAACCTGAGTTCCAAGCATCAATAAACTTATAAATTTTAAGCGCTGACTTATCACATGGCCTGTAGTGTAGGAAAACATTGTGATGAACCCTGCATATTTTCGAAATTATAAAAAAAATATATGAAGTCACCATATCTCAATGGGGTCTCATGGTGGACTATGCCCTCATACCCTCAATACAGAGGAGGCCTTTGCCTACCAGTAGGATGTTCATTGGCATATGTGTATTAATAATCAAATGTGTATTTAAGACAAAATATGATAAATACCTTTGTGAAGGGTATGTATACACTTGTCCCTCTCTAGCACCCGGCATACGCTGTTTTCTTGTCATAAACAAATTGCAATGACTTTGAGCAACTCCTGTAAGTTGATGACACACATGTAAAGCATCACAGAAGGAATGATATAATTACAATTGCAAAACTAATTTAAAATAAAATTTCTTTGATTGACTTGTGCATTCTTTAAAAAAAAAAACAATTTTTAATCCTTGGATTTAGAACAATTATACAGCGTGTTTACGAACGCGACAATAAATGAACACATATAGAGGAAAACTTTTTAAAATTGTTTTAAACATTAACAATCATTAAACATCAATATTTACTGAGTTATTAAATTTTCCAAAACAAAGAATTTTAGAACACCCTCATGTATAAAACTGTAACGTAAAGTTCATTTGTAAAGGTCACAAAGCATATGAATGGGTTGAATGAAATTAAAAGAGACAAAATGTACTGTTAGAATTTAGAAACTTGTAATGCGACGCTGTGGCAGCAAATGAAAAAGTCTCTGAATGTATGAATCAGTAAGTTGTAGTTGTATAGGATGTTACGAATTTTGTTTCTTTTTTAATTAATTAGTTTGTTTGAAAAATATTTTTTTTACTTATAGGTTTTTTAAGGTCAATATTTTTTTATGATTATTGGCATGTAGCGTTAGACGTGTGTTGTGACACGCTCTATAAAAATATGTTTATCTAAAATATTATTTTCACAATTCATTGTGGTTTCTTTGCCAAATTTTCAGTCACGATAATTGACTTATAAACAATTTGCTGTAGGCTATGGGATTCAAATCTAAATTGGACGTAGTTATGCGAAAACGTTCCAACCCACAGTCACTACGAAATGGAGTTAATGTGACTAGTACACCTTTTTTGACACCTTACGTCATTCAAGCAAAAACATTCCTATCCTCATGTAATATTTCTTTACTTATAATTTTCACTGCATGTTCCAACACACAATTTTTACCAATTAAATGATTTCATATAAAATAAAACGTGTTTATCCGTCTGAAACGTTTTATTTAATATATATTATAATTTTTGATTCTTTGTTAATATATTCAAACAATGATTCAATAATCTTGAAACCTTTAAGCAAACCCATGTAATTTATTTTTTCAATGTTTCAATGTGTTTTGAATGTTTCATCAAATCCAAGTAATTTAATTTTTCATTGGAAAGAATGTTTCTATTTATTTAGATAGTTTTAGATAAATAACAATTGGGTTGCATAAACGATTCAATAATCATTGATCATTATATTAAACCCAAGTAACGTAATGGTTGGAATATTATAACTAAATAGCAAAAGTGACGCATAAACCATTCAAAATGTGGAGTACCTTTTTATTTTTCACATAAAATGAATAATTTTAATATTTTTATAAAACGATAAATATTGCCAATTAATTAAATTATTTCGAGTTATGCAAGTGAGTCACAGTGCTTCTGTTAATGCTGTAGATACTGTTTATTTTTTTGATCTGACTGAAATATGACTGATCTTTTTGAATAAACAAATTATTAAGTAATATTTGTCTTTGTAATTTCCATATTTATTTTATACTTATGTAACATAAAAACACATAAACTCTACTTTTGGAACATTTTTTCAAAATGATTAGAAATGAGGGTTCATACAAAAAGTAGGTTTGCAAAAATGTTCCAATACCATTTTTCTTAATTAGCTACCTTTTTGAAGTAAATATAATAAAAAAATTGTACTTGTTTAGGGAATTACCATATTTTACTACGATTTTACCCTTATAATTTGTCAATACTAGTTAGGGCAAAAAGTGTACCACTGAAATAGTAAATTGCGTTTTTCTCAAATTGTGATCATTGTGGCATGGAACGTTTTCGCATAACTACGTCCAGTTATGAATGTGCAAGAAAGCACTTATGTCTAAATTACCTATTTTTTATCATTATTTCACTTGTGAGCAATGTAGATGACTGTTCAATAAACAAATAAAACTCTGACTTTTAATTAAAAATAATATATACACGCGAACAAAGAACCTACGCCTTTTGAAGTCGGTTAAACATAGTATTTAAGCCGACACAAAATGCTCACAAGTTTTCGATAAATCTAAGGCATGTTATTACTAATTACCAGTTTGCGTATCGATGAACGGCATTCGCATCCTTCTTTCCGCACATAGTCGTGAATTAAATGTTGACGAATTTTCGATAATTTCTTTATAACTTGGATCATTGAGAAAACTGGAAAAAGAACATTTGTCACATAAACAAAACAAATGTCAATTTATCATCAAGTAGGGTAGTATACATTAGACAACTTAATATTTATTTGTATTTCGACAGTATATCTAATAGTACCTTTCAATTTTAGCTAAATTTGATGGATTTACAACTTGAATTTCTGCAGCCGCCATTTTATAAAATAGACGGCGCAGCAGAAGGAGGAGGATACGATACGACGCTGGGTTGTTGACGTCACAATCTCATAAAACTTGACTTGACATTATCAAAATATGAAATAATTTAGATCTTTCCATCCACACATAGGCTAAACTTTCAGGAACTCATGAGGCTTCAAGTTAAATTTCCTCTTTATTTAGTTTTGGTAAAGTATTTTAGTTTATTTAAATTAATGAAAAAATTTATTTCTATGTTTGCAATTAACTTAAGAAATGACAAAGTTCTTTTCATGTTAACTGAATTGACATTTACAATTTCCTTTTTCTTAAAATCTGAATTTTTGTAGATAAATGATCAAAAATTTTCGACACTGCGGGATTGGAACCTGCGAATACTTTAATAATTATGCTTATGCGACACATTTTATCATCTTTACTACAGAGATCAGTACTTAAAAATTAATCATAAATTCTCTTTTTCAATAAAACTCTATTTTTCTATGCAATATTTTTATAATAAAGAATATATTAAGATTCAATGCAAATTATATTTAGTGTTACAGATTAATTGTTGATGACAAAACAATATACAAAATATACAGACTATACGTCGTTTTAACTCTGCTTATGATTACTGGTAACACTGTGTTTACGTCAAGCTTGTGACTGGTCATCGGTGGACGAATCGTGGAACTGGCGCATTTTCAGTTATTGGTGATTGGAGATCTCCAAATATTAGTCTGATTATTGGTTACTCTGTTCTAATAAGTTTAGCCGCGGACAGGCCACTCGAATTATTGTTACAAAATATTATTTTGTAAATAAACAATTAGGCTAAGGGAAAGAATAGAAATTACGTTTCTCAGGTCGTCATATCCAGTGTTAGCAAATCAAGATGTCCGTATGCTTCTTTGTGCCTGCGTAAGTTACCGTTTATTATTACTTTCTATAAAGTTTTTGATTATTATTTCATAATAAAGTTCTTATGTATAGAAGTATATCTATATATCCTTTTTTTAAGATAGACATAGCTGAAATAAGATAGCAGCTTCTCTGTACATAAAACTTTTGTTAATAGTTACTAATAATTTTATAAATTAATCCTTAAAGAAATAGGTATTTAACTCAATAACTGCTGCATGATAAATCAAGAAACATGATTTGTTGTATTACCTTGTTATATAGATACGAAATTATATGCTTATATAAAGATACACATTATCTAAAAAGAGAAAAATTTTAAATTGTTTATCTTTTTGATTATCTCCTTTAAAAGTGTTATTTATTTTTAATAAAACCGTGGGTCCAATTAAATAGGACATACTGTAGTATACATGCACCAATAATTTACTATGGGTACAGGTCCCATAGTAAATACTCTGTATTCGATTACTTGTGGCATTGTTTTTATACGTATTTATTTTATTACCACCTGTTTACATATGTCAATTCTCACACTTTCCGATTTCGATATCAAGACAATTAATTTATTTATCTAATTAACTTTTTTAATATCATATTCAAGGCGTTTTGCAATTCATTAACTCATTATCAGATCGTCCCGTTCATGGTTACGAGTCCGTCTGATGCGATGAAATGATGATGTTGCTATAGCTGGCGGAGAATGCACCGGTGAAGTGGCGACAGGCGAGATTTGAGGTCGCGGAATTGAACCTTAGGTCCGTAGCGCCGATGCCACTGGACACATCTGCTTTTTTTGGATTTCGCGAATATATTACAAAGATAATATAAAAATCATTCGCGTTTTAGGACTTAGAATAACAATTTTCTTAGTTATTATGAAGACGTAGCTTAATTTCCGATGCAGTTACTGTGATAACATTGTTAACTCGATTGGCACGGCATCAAAAACATTTAGAACGTATTGTAAGCAGTTTAGTTTTATTTTCAATGTCACTTATATTATGGGTACAAATTACATTGATAACCTACCTGCGTTTTTTTAATGTTTGAATGGACCCAAAACTACTCTTTCACGTTTCATCTAGTTTTACCCGATGCTTGGTTGGCATTGTCTTCATTGCTCCATATTGCACTTTTGGCCTGACTATCTACTTGTATTATCAGGTATGAGCGAAAGGGGTCAAGGTCTATTTCGGATCATTAGTAACCCAACAATTATACTTTTTCCTTCTTTTCGTCGCCGCACATTCGAATATCTTATTATTGTAAAAAGTATAAACGCTTCAATTAAAATGCATTTTTTAATTTTCTTTTTGAACGTTGTGAGAGCTGTAAAAATGATGACATTTATGATCTATAAATTATTTTATGGAATGAACTTATAACCTCCCACGACTTAAACAATCATACAGAATACGGAGACTAAATGCTTCCGGACTTAGAACAGCTGTTTTTATGGCGCTCTGTGACGACAGCAGCGACGAAAGCTGACACAATGATTCCCGCTCAACGAAAGACTAATAGGCTTGTGTCCAAATTTACATGTTTCGTCTGGTGAATTAAGTAACCGGACGCCCACGGCGGTTGGCGATATCTTTGGTGTTGCAGAGGTCCTCAACTACGATCAGTAGATCAGCTTATCTGATCTTAAGCGATTACCTCAAATCCGTGGACATCGACACTGAAAGAGTCGCAAATGCGTTGCCAACTATTTAAAAAGTGGGCCCCGGTCACCTCCCTCACCAGAAGAAAAGCGAAAGTGTAATACGTTCACTTCACGCCGTACATTCTATGAAGCCGGGACTTCCCCCGAATGATTTCCATGTTGCACCAACAGCAGAAGCCGCCTCGTGGCTTTACCACAGTGAAGAAGACAGTGTTTTTTTGAGTGAGTGTCAGTGAGTTTTTTTTTTATGTGAGAAAGTGGCAAAAAAGCTGGCGATTCACCTCATGTTAAGTGATAACCGCCGCCCATGGACATTTGTAACACCCGTAGGGTTGCAAATACGTTGGCACCTTTAAATAAAGTGGGCCCCGGCTACCTCACTCACCAGACGAAACGCATAAGTATAACGCTTCTACTTTACGCCGGTCTTCTTTGAGGTGGTACTAACCCGGATGGACCTGCCCATTCGTGCAACAACGAACACTGTTGCGTGGCCCTACCACCGAGTGTAACCAATTATCTCTTGTAGGGATCAAGCCGGCACGTCAGGGGTATCTGAGGAGGTGGAGAACGATGGGGGAGAGGAGAGCTCATCCCCCGAAGATATCCAGCACAGCCTGCAGGCCTTCTGGAGCAAGGTCACTGAGGACATCAAGAAAGTCACTGCGGTAGGTAGCGTAGTGACCGAAGCCGGCTATCGGCCGGTTTCAATGTTCTGTCTTTTTTTATGAGACAAGTTGCCAAGTGAGCAGGCGGTTCATCTAATGTTAAGTGAATACCGCCGCTTGGTACACCCGAGGGTTGTAGATGCATTGACAACCTTTTGAAAATTGGACTCCGGTTCCCTCACTCACCCGACGAAACGCGAAAGTGTTATACTTCGACTTTACGCCGGTCTTCTGGTCTGTCTTCTTTTAACTTTCGTCTCTTGTCTTGTCTTTTGTGACCTTAAACAATATGGTGCTGGATGGTTATGATTGACTACCAAACGGGGTCGTCAGCTCGTTACAGACTTAACGTCCCACTGAAAGTACGAAAAGCAACAACCAGTTGTGAGGGTGAAAAGTTTGGTAAATGGTAGTAGAAGTTCAGTTCGGTTCAGACGTGACGATGTGCCTGATGTGGGTCGTGTAACAGCATGAGTACAAAACATAAGTGTTCCCCCCTTTTTTTGAGGGGGAAATCTTCGTAAACAGGGTTATTATGTGGGGTTTTTACCAACTAAAAACCCTCGGCTGCCACCTGTTGCACGTTTGGAGGGAGCCCGGGATCTCCTATGGAACGCACCGTTGTCCCTCAGTATTGGGCGTGAGCACGCCTCGGAGAAGGGTAGACCTTCCCAGATTCCCACGTGTCCCCTTTTACGACAGGCAGGAGATACCTTAGACCTATTCTATGAGCTCGGGACTACAGGGCTGGCTACGTGACGATGTGGTTCGTGTAACAGGATGACTTCAAAACACAAGCGCTCCCCCTAGCGAGGATCAAGAAGATCATGAAGCTCGACGAGGAGGTGAAGATGATATCGGCAGAGGCGCCCGTGCTATTCGCGAAAGCGGCCGAGATCTTCATCCACGAGCTGACGCTGCGCGCCTGGGCTCACACCGAGGACAATAAGCGGAGAACTTTACAGGTATTTAAAGCTTTTCTTGACATTCGACTTTGATTTTACGACATATAGTTTGCTGTTAGCCCGGCGGTTTTTGCAGCTTCGGAAGAAGTCCTCAGGCAGACCATCCGCGGGCACGGGAGAACAAAGTAGCTGGTGCACGACGACCGCAACTAACGGAAGATGGACAATCGAATAACAGTGGGAGGGGGGGGGGGGGGGGGCACGACACGATCTTTCTAAGTGTTTTACACTCCAACTAACACCACCATCACAAGATTGGACAATACACTTACACCACCACCACCAGATCCAAGAGTCCCTCAGATGGAGGTTCAAACCTCGGCTTGGATCGCAATCGATAAGGAGACATTTGATTGTTTTTCTGCACGATGTGGCCTTCCCATGGACATTCGAAACACTACATGCAGAATGAGAACTTACCGATGTCGAAAGAGTCACAAAGCAATTTTACAGGTCGTCACTCCATCTAGTGGGGGTCGTCCTGCACACACTGCAAACGAAACTGCTGCTCAAGTATCTTTCCTCCCCGTCAGGTTGTCAGTTAGTTGTGTCATTTGTTCTGAGCTTTGTAAGTTAAGCTTGTTCTACTGCGGAGATCTTCATAATGAACTCTATAGTGCAGAGAAACACCGAATAAAGCTCCATTGCTCGTTACACGACTTTGAGCTACCTCATACGGTTAGCAATGAAGGACCACGTTTCGGGTCCGTAAGTTAACAACTTCATTGGTTCAATACCGGGGATCGAACTCAGGTAGCTCAAGCATACTGAATTAAGCTCGAGCGACCGGACACTGAACTATCACGGCTCATGTAAGCAAACAGAGCTGATTCCCGGTCTACACACACCTTACTCTTTCCGCCCGCAGCGTAACGACATCGCGATGGCGATCTCCAAGTCGGACCAGTTCGACTTCCTGATAGACATTGTGCCGCGCAACGAGACCAAGCCGAGCAAGCCCAGGGAGGAGCCGGCCCGGCCCAGTCCCAGCGCGGAGCAGGTGGGGCAAAGGGGAACCGGCTGGCGATACCAGTTGTGCCAGAGTTGGGTTCGGTAGGAGCACTGGGATCGTAAAGGGGCTGAGCGGGAAGGCCTTACCACGAGGAGAGGGGAAGGCATTACCTCGCTACCCGAGGAGGGACTTCTGACGCGGCCAGCGCTGGCATGGTTGCAGAATTGAAACCGTTCCCGTGGCCCTGCCGATATGCGCTTGGGTGGAACATCGTGGGGGTTTTAGTCGGTGCGAGTCCGACATATACCGCTCTTGCCCGGGGACGTTAACAAAAAAAGGGGAGGGGGAATGGGATTATCAGTCGGAATCGCTTGGACACATAGGTTGGACACGGGATCCTATAATGCTGGACTTAGTATTCCCTGCGTACTAGCAACAATACAAAGTGGTCTCGCGCTGTTGCAAGATGAAAATTTCCAACAAATAATGTAGGTAATGCCATCTATTGACAATTTATTGAAAGATAGCGTAGTAGTAGAACTTTATTTTGAATTTAAATCACAAGTACCTAATTATTTACACATTATTATGTTCATTTGGTAACTGATCACGGTTTGCGATAATCTCCGAACGGCTCGACCAGTCCGCTTCCATCGAACTAACGCGTACGGTGATCCCCACAGCAGCAGCAGCAGCACACAGCGATTCCGGCGGGCACACAGCCGCAATACGTGTTGCAGCCCTGCGCGCACTTGGTCCAGGTAAACTGAACAGCATTCAGACACGCGAAGAACTGGAGAGTACGAACTCGATGTGGTAGGGCCACGCAACAGTCTTCGCCGTTGCACGAATAGGCAGGTCCGTCCGGGGAAGAGCCACCACCTCACAGAAGACCGACGTGAAGTAGAAGTATTGTCCCTTCTCCATGCGTCTGCTGAGTGAGATTGCCGGAGGTCTATAAACGTTGGCAATGCACCTGCAACCCTCCATGTAGGGCGTGGCGGTAGTCACTTTACATCAGATAATATCGGCTCAGCTCTCGTTCGATGAACGAATCGCCTTTTCTGTTCATATAATGAAAAAGTGTGTGTGTAATATACGTACGCACAAGAAGTTGACTTCTTTATGGTAACAAAAGAAAGATAACTACAAATACTATCCCATGTGCCAGTACATTGCAATTGATAACGGTTGAATTAAACAAATTAGAATTAATTATACTTCGATGACAAAAAGTTGCCATTGGGCCGCATTTACACCGCGTTTACACCGTGAAGTTGTCGCTTTTAGCTGTCGCCCAATAATTCATAAAAAAAAGTCGTAATAATTAACTGTCGTCTTTTTCCCAAACGCGCCAAAAGCCACACGAATGAAGTCAATCTTCTTTAGCTCCATCTATATAGGTATAATGGGTGTTCATTTCATCATTAATAATCAAGAAATCACCGTTCGCGTAACCGTTCCGTTCGGCTGGCGCGATCACACTTTTCGAAACGCCCTCGCTTACCCGAGCTTACTCCCCGAGTCGATCGTGCGTAAAGAAGTTTTACTTCAAAAAGGAAACTGTCTCATCCTGTATTCGATGTTGCAGCAAACATCGAATGCTGGAACGTCGTCCAGCGCTCCGCACCCGGTCACGCTGGTCCAGCAGGTGCTCACGTCTTCGGGGGACTTGCAGCAGTTGCCGGTGAGGATGCATTCTTTCTCCCGTATACACCCAAATATAAACACGGCGAACACGAAATTTATATATTTAATCTCTATGCACACACTGTACAAAGGCGGACTTAACGCCAATGGCATTCTCTACCAGTCAACCTTAGAGTGGTGTAGAGAAAAGTGAGGTAGGTGCACAGATATTACGTGTGGAACTATAAAATATTATTCATAAAGTAAATAAACATACATAAATATGTATCTATATATACTACAGATGTGCCGGAACATTAAAATTGTAGATCCGCGGATACGGATCCGGATACGGATCATTGGCGACAATATCCACGGATACGGATCTTAACTTAATATCCAGGAAAATCTCAATATTAGTAAATCCACCGTCCTTGATTTTGTGTCTGATTCGAAGGATAAATTAGATTTTAGTTTTTCACTAAAATGGATAACAAAAAATTCTTTCAAGCAGCCACATTTTTACACCCACGGGTCAAAGGAATAAAAACAAATTGCTTACAACTTTGGAAAATGAATTAAATCTCACAGCAACTATAAAAAGTACTAAGGACAAACCAATTATTTTTGCCAGAGTCTAGAAGAGTCTATGGCTAATATGTTACATAGTGATGACGATGATGAATATTAGATACGAAAACTCATTTGCTCATACAGTACGAGTATATGTCGGAAAAAAGATTATCAAGACTGCCACGATCCACTAAAGTATTGGCAGATTAACATTTACTTTGAGTGTCACAGTAGATTAATTTACTTAATGAGAATTATCATTTTATTGCGATTATAAGGGTAAAGATCCGTCAAAAATGTAGCGGATACGGATCTTTTTTTTCCGACGGATATCCGCGGATACGGATACGGATATCCGGAACATTACTAATATATAAATATACAGCGTGTCGTTACAACCGCGACAATAAATGAACACACGTCTAACGCTACTTGTCAATAATAATGAAAAAATATAAACGTTAAAAAAACCAGAAATGAAAAAGAATATTTTTCAAACTAATTAAGTAAAAAAGAAACAAAATTTGTTACATCCCTATACAACTGTTTGATTCATACATTCAGAGACGTTTTCATTCGTTGCTACACCGTCGCATTACAAGCCTCTCCTAACAGTATGTTTTGTCTCTTTTAAATTCATTCAACCCATTCATATGCTTTGTGACCTTTAGAAATGAACTTTACGTTACAGTTTTATACATAGGGGTGTTCTAAAATTGTTTGTTTTGCAAAATTTAATAACTCTGTAAATATTGATGTTTAAAGAATGTAACTGTTTAATACAATTTTAAAAAGTTATCCTTTATATTATGTGTGTTCATTTATTGTCGCTGTTGTAACGACACGCTGTATATATTGTTGGATGTATAGGATGTTTGTAGTGTTGTTATCTTTGTCTGTTGCTCACACAAATACTTGTCCCGCTTGGCAATCGAACCCGTGACCGCCGAAGCCAATGGCTTAGCGAATGCGCCGGAGGTTCATGTAATATGTGCATTTCAAATTTCGTGTCACGATGTATGTTCGTGAATCCAAAACTACAGAACCAATTTTTATCAAATTTTGTAAGCATTTGTAATTTGGTCCAACTTGTGAGATAGGGTAGTTTTTATCTCATTTATTGATCTCAATACTTGTTATTGAAAATTATTTGTTTATTCGATGACAAAGAGTTATCTGTGAGTCCCATAAGATTCTAACAGATGGCGGTGTAAGATAAATTTATCGGCTGGATTGAGTAAGTATCCGATAGATGGCGCTATGCTAAAAGTAAAAACGTATGAACCCGGGAGAATTGGCGCAGACGAAGTTGCGCGGGACAGCTATATATAACATTTTCTGTTTCAGATCCAACTGTCGCAGGCGCAGTTGAACATGATAAGGCCGCAGTTGCAAAACAACCCCGGGCAACTGATCGTCATACAGGCCCAACCGCAGCAGTCGCCACAGATAATACAGGTATTTTTTCTCTCTTTTTGTATTATTTTTCTCTCTCTATGTAAACATTTTTTTCTCTCTCCGTGTGTTTATTTTTGTAATTTTAGTGTTTAACTTTTGTACCATTATTATAAGGTGACGGAATAAATGTCTTTAAAAGGTATAAAAATCAATAAATCTAATAATCGCTGAAACGTTCATAGGCTTCTACAATATCTACAATATCAGAAGGCACGTGAGTTACTAAGCCCGTCATTCTTTTTATGTGTGAGAAGGTGGCAAGAGAGTTGGCGGTTCACCTGATGTTAAGTGATAACCGGCGCCCATGGGCACTTGTGACCCGTAGGGTTGCAGATGCGATGTCCCTTTTAATAAAGTGGGCCCAGGTTACCTTACCAAACGAAATGCAGAAGAACGACACTTCCATTTCACGCCGGTCTTCTCTAAGGTCCGTGCACATACCCGGACGGACCTGCCCCTCATGCGGCAACCGAAACTGTTGCGTTCCCCTACCACAGGAAAAACGGTCTTTTCCCGGTGCGTTTGGAAATAGCCTTTATTGAACTGTGAACACGTTTTTGTGGCTGAGCCTTAGCTTAGGACGAGGTAAAATCATTAACAAGGTAAAATAAAATGAAAAAACTCGCAATTGCAAAAAAAATGCTTCATCTGGCGATTTGGACTGCGGTAAGAAAGATTTTTTTTTATTCGTTGCGACACTAAAATGTACGGGTTAATGTTGTTATGTGAAAACATTAAACAATGAAATTTATCTGTGTCCAACATTTTTAATTTCTTCTATTTTTTTAGTTTATTTTTTTTAAAAAATACGCGTTAATCTTTAATTTTAAAAATACACGTTAGGTTCCCATCACTACCACGCTAATATGTTTGCTACTAACAACTGCTCTCTACTCACTGCTGGCAGCAACGGTTAAATACCCAATAAATAATATAAATGAGTACCTCACTATCAAAAAGTAGAGTTCTCCTGATGAATAGATAACTACCGTCCAATTACCACAACATCTTTCAGCGAGTGGGCGCTGATTAACTCACGTAGCGAAACGTATGGGTATAAATACTATCAGTATTTAAAAGTTTGTAGAAAAATGTTCAAAAAGATTTTCGCCGCTGCGAAGATTTGAACCTTCGTTTTCGGGGATATACGCCCGCTCTAGCCACTGAAATTGACTACCTAAAATTTGTCTACATTGGTTTATTTTTTTTATTTTTACTTTTTTAACCAAAGGCATCATTTAGTCTGTTTCCTTTACAGCAAACAACCTCTTTTTTTTATAAAATTTTACAATGAAACATTTGAAAACTAGATATGTGACAACATTTGCTTTTAATTTTTAAAGGATTCTAAATTTTATAGTTCGATTCTTTGCACTTGAGATTTATAAATTTGTAGGAAAATAGAAAAAGTTTTTCGCTGCTGCGAGGTTTGAACCTGTGTCGTTTTAGCCCCTGAGTAGCTTATTTTCGCACCGATGGCTTTTTTAAATTTCATCTTAAGTGCAGAGAAAAGAGCACCGTAAAAATTGATATTTAAATACCACCACTTTAAACATGAGATTTAGATAATTACACGAGTGTCAACTAACAACGTGTTCGTTCTTGTTTCCCATAGGTGCAATCGCACGCGGGCCAAAGTCAACCGCAGCAGGTGTTCCTCGCCCAAGTGGCCGCCACCCAGGAGGAGTCTTAGCGACGGGGCAGCAAATCAAGCTATCCCAGTGACGTTCAGACAGTTTTGTGCCCTTTGAACATTGTTAGATTTGTGAGGTTCGCTGTGAAGAAGCGAAAACAACACGTTGTTACATAAGAGTGTAAATATAGAGACAATAAATGATATATGTTATATAATAGATTGTTTCAGTCACGTAAGCTGTATGAATGAATGAATACATACTTTACTTTCCTCCACACATAAAAGGATACACAAAATTAACAACAGACAAACGAAACTATAGTATGCTTTTTTTACGGTTTCTGCTATACGTCTTTGGAATTCTCTTCCTTTAGATATTAAACTAAATCTAAATCTCTTCACATTTTAAAACTAAATTAAAATGTCACTACCTATCCTCTTAATATACTATCTGTCGTCCATCATATATCTTTTTTTTTCTGTCTATATGTATATATGTATATTTTTTTTGTGTATTTACTATTCTTATTACTTGTTTAGTACACCCTACCGCTTTCTTCTTTTAATGAATCCTCTGCCCTAAGGTTGCCTGGAAGAGATCGCTGTTTTAGCGATAAGGCCGCCTGTTGTACCCATGTGTCTTTAGTTATAAATCCTTTATTTCTACTGGTGTACAATAAAGTATATTTTACTTTTACTTTACTTTATGCACAATTTGGCGGCCTTATCGCTTCATAGCGATCTATTCCATGCAACCATTGTTGAAATGTTGAAAACAATGTTGTTCGAAAGTTTCCGTTCCATTATCAATAAAAACGGCAAAAGAATCATGTCCCACTTAAATTCTGATTATTATGATTAAAACTTTTTAATTCTGATTTTTTGAATTTGTTGTTTATAGCGGCAGCCGTAATATATCATCTGTGAAAATACAATATAGTAATAGTAATTAAAATAATTTAGTAAAAATTACTTAATTCGGGGATACTAGGGTAGTAAGAAAAAAAAGATAATTTATTATTCTACGTTTTATTGAACAATTCACTACTTTGTAAGATGCGAAACCAAAGCATTTTGGCGTTAACATCTAAGCTACTAAAAACTATAGATTGCACATTTCTAATTTTCGACTAAACTAAGCAAAATACACGCTACATTTCATATATCTATTCTAAAATAAACATAATCTAACAATAACGCCTAATCAAATAATATGCTTTTCGAAATAACACATATAAATCAACATGATCATCAATGGACAACGAATATATCATTGCATAATATTCAATAAACGGATTTCATATAAAAGTAACAAAAAAATATGTGAAACTTATATAATCAATATATTAATTTCTTAACGAATTATCAATCTATTGCAATAACATCGGATAAAATAAAGAAACCCGAAGACAATTCATATAAGATCATGTTATATATGCACATATTTTTTTTTTGGTTTTAATCCTAAACATATATTAGTCATTTTGTTTCTATAACAAATTACCTTAATTGGTAACATTTCGTGTAAGGGTATTTTCAACAACTCTTAATATCAAAACAGACAATCGACTTGTAGCCTTGCTAAACTCTAATGCACCCGAGTGCAGTGGACAAGTACAGCCGAGTGCATAAATCGAGTTATCGTATATTAAACTGTGCTCACAAAACCGAATAACAACGCTGTGCACAACTGTACACCAATGTTCAGTGGAAGCGAGACCAAGCGATTGACTCTGAGGCGCGATAGAGACGGCAATACTTTCCCTCACAGACTCCGTAATTCGCTTTGGACGAGCTTCAGACGCATTTTAGTTGGCGCCTTCTTATTAAATTAGTCGATAGAAACGTTTTAATAGCAGTAAACACAGTCATGATTAATACAACGTCATGGATAGCGCATTTTAGACATATTGTGATGTGAATATTCCACCGAAATAGTCAGTGGCTTCTAACGTTTCAATATAACACTATAAGCTAGATCTATTTACTATCACTGACCGTAGTAACTTAATATATTTATTGCTCTTGTTTCAATATTTAAATCTAAATAATATCTCTAATAAACTACTAATATTTATGACTTTGTGACAACATAAATATTTATTATTATATTGGAAGACGTTTCAGATTTTGTTGTTAAAACTGTTTTTTATTATTAATCAGATTTAGCAGTATATTTAATATATTAAAAAGCAAGGCGTACGATCCTGTGACCGACGCTCAATATTATGCCAATGCTAAATAAACTAAAATAAAACTTAATTATCGTCGAAACAACTAAGTTTCCCCTGTAAGAGCTGTAGGGCATATTACATCAGTATCTTGGACACCACGCGCGGCATTGTCAATATTATATAAGAAGACTGGCAAGAAAAATAAAAACCTCGCGCTCTAGGGGAAACCAATGAACTAATTTCTCCAACCATTGAAGGGTTGGAGAAATTAGTTCTAAGGTAGCCAATGTGAGGCTCCCAGAGCAGGCATCTTATTTTTCCAGCCAGGATAGAATTAACTACATCTAATAGTAATAACTTCATATTTATAACACTATGGTAGTATACTTGCAACTTATTTTTTGACGAAGAAAAAGCTTGCATATTCTATTACACTTAAGCAACACGTACGCCGTAGAATTAACTTATTTCATGCTGGGCTCTAATCCGGCAAGAATTATAAACTTAAATGACTATAACTCATTCGTCGGTTTTTGATATGAACATTAAAAACCTAAAATGTTTCCTATTTGAGCACTTCAGGCGTACACGCAACGCTTACAACTTCGTATTGCTATACGAAAACGTTGCTCCGAATGAAAATTCGCAAAAGACCGAGATGATAAGGCATTAAGATCGGTCTATTCTCTATTATGGCGACATTTCTGGTTGTAATTCTGTGTCTATGATCTATACTAATTGAGCTTCACCTTAGCCTAGGGAACTAATCGCATATCCGTTTAACGTAAACGTCAATAATAAGATATATTTGGTTTAATTGCTAAAAAAATAATTAACAAACAGCACCCCTGTATCACTGTGTATACAATCGTTGTCAATTTTGTTACAAGTACATAGTGAGAAGAAATAATTTTATATTATAGTTTTTTTTTATTTATAAATTACAATAAATAAATGAAATTCTATTGAAAGGAACTTTATACAATTTAAATATTAAAAGGGGCGATTGAGTCTGCAAAATCTCACGTCGACGTAGATTTTATGATAAAGCGAGGAAACGTTTAGATAGAGCTAATATTATAAAAGTGAGTAATGCCATACTGAATTTCATTAATTTAATTAATAAAATTTAAAATACCAATCGGTTGTTACAAGGACACTAAGAATTTCGATTTCCATTTCGGACTAAATTACCAGCATATGGTAATTTAGTCCGAAATGGAAATCGAAAAGCCACGAAAAAAGTTGTGCAATCATAAATTACTTTTATGTTCAACGTAAACGTAAGGTTTTACAACTACACGGGTATTAAATTTGTAAATAATTCTAAGTAAAACGGGTTCCTTTTGAGAGGCTAAAGTACGGAAGTAAACAACAAACTACGCCTAAAGAAATTTAAACCTCTTTGGACCCCGTCGGTATTTAAGTAACTAGTTTCACATTAAGTAGTTCATAATAATTATTTTATAAGATCCATATTATAAAATGTACAAAAAGATCAACAATGTAAATAATGTAAAATGTACAACAAAATCTTTTTACAATATGAAGAAATATTGAAACAAAAAAATGTATAAGAATTTATGGTAATATCAATATAAAATATAAAAAATATTAAATAATAAAATGAAGTCTATATTTTTAATATCACTAAATTGTTTGAGCCATTACATTGTGCTAGTTTTGTTGATTGTAGAGGGCGCGCGGTCTGCTATTTAGTCTGTGGGAAATTCGTGTTGAGGATCACAATAATTCGAGCAAAATTTTGATAATTACATTAAAGAATGAAAGAATGAAGAAGAATTAGTCGTAATACTAATTTGGAAAACTTAATAGCGAATTGAGAGAAAAGAGATAATTTGAATGACGATGTTTGTGCAATATGGTCGAAATTCTTGGTGTTTTCTGGTTACATACGAAATATTTCGTATCGCACGCCCTTACTACAGGAAACGTTATACCCTCAATTGACCATAAAGATTGGCCATTCGTGACATGCAGCTGGTGGTGGTATGGGCAACGGAGAGCCGCCCCCCACTGACACCACCTCAGGGATCTGAAATTATAACTTTCATGAAACTAATCTCTTCATTTTATATGATAGTTAACTTGATAAGAAGGTGGGGATTTATTAGCGGGTTACGTTCTAAGCCGTAGAAGTATTTTTTTAAACTAATGGCTTAAATAAACGAGTCTCTGTTCTGCAAAAGCAACAGGTAAAGTCGGGTCAAAATGTTTATTTTAACCTAAAAATCGAAATCGACTAAAAAGTGTGCAAATTGAGCTTTAGTGCCTGCAGTTGACAGCTGTCAGTGATTGTCACAAAATGCTTCTTCTATCTGTGGGTCACAATACTCTGACAGTGTGGGAACCAAACCCACGACGCCGAAGCTAACAGTGTAGCAACTGTGCCACAAAGTTACGGTACAAAAAGCGCTTTCTAACAAGAGAAAAAAAAACACAATTTTTCGTTCTTCTCACCATTGTCTGAGGATGGTGAGGAGGATGGTAGTAGTGCGCCGGCGAGACGGGTGGTGTCGGATAGCCCCAGTAGACCAATGGTGGCAGTGTGGGCCCCATCGCCGGATAGTAATACGTCAGTGGACCTAAAGGAGACATCGCTTTAATCCTACTATTTCAATGTTTCCGTAAACGTCAGCAATAATGATGATATACAAAAAATTCGTAGCAGCAGTATAAACTTGAATTGTTTAACAGAAAAATTTTGAAAACTCAATTCCATGTCGGGTCGGAGAACACGCGTCGGTACGGTAATGTCAGGTCAATTTCGATTCATGCATTTTAGTCACGCAGGTTAGTCACGTTTTCACATTAGCTTTTATGCCTGATTTAGTATTTGAATTCGACCGCAATAGTCTTTATTAGTAGGGGTAATATTAACACATCCATATTCTTTGTGCAACATACAAGTTGATTAATCATAAACTATTAAAACATACAGCCCCATAAATCGACCAATAATCGTGTTTCGGTGGTAGATAGCAATGAATGATCCAGTCGAATGTCCAACTATCCCATTCCTTGTTCCCTCGTTTATATATAAGTAGGTACTAAAATGGTGGTGCTACACGATATTACTTTGTAATTTGGGCCCAACGTGAAAATATTTCGAAGAATCCAAAAGTGGCGCGAAATGAATAAAAACGTATAAAAAAATTGTAAATATAATCGAAATATAGATATTATATTATTAAACCACGCAAAAGATTCACCGTAACATTTTCCCGCCCTTTCGACGATATGAACAACGTACACAGATAATTGAAGAGAATAGGTATGTAATTAAAAATAATGATAAACACTCACCAGGGTCTCAGAACGCATTAACAGTCCACCAAAGCAGTGCGCAACTTACACCAATATTCTGATATCGTTTGTTACACACGCCGCTGTTGCCGCCAACCACCAAGCTAGTCTGCGGACTTTACCAAACTTATGCTCGCCTAGTACTGCACCGGTCGTTGCGATCTCAACCGAAATATTTTTTTTAGTTTAAATGTTGTTATTATTTATACTCTAATTACACACGAGCACGTTTAAAAATGAAATTTGATAAAAAATTTCTACGTCTAAACTACGTCTACGTCACTAAATGTAGAATAAATCTGAATAATTATAGTGAAAAAGTATTACTATAAAATTTATACTTTTACTTTAAATATGTAACATATATGTTCAGTGCTGGCAAGTTGAAATCGCAACTGTTCTCAAGTATAAGAAGGAGTTTTAATATCTCAACGTGATCCCACAACATAAGATAGATAAATACTTACTCGGTTACATTGATGTTTTTTTTACCTTGTAACACTAGACATTCAACCAGCAACTAGCACCAATGGACTTATTAATTATATCTAAAGCACAAAAACATCTCGTCTACGACACACTTAAGCGCTGAAATTCACCCCCATTTTACAAGATTGTAGTCTTTGACACAGTCACCGGAGATTCCATGCATTTTGAAGCGGTTTTTAATGTAAGATAGAGTAAGGATGGGGCAGAGCGTGTGCAGTGTTTCGATGCATGTTAGAAAATGTTTTATTCATATCATATTCGGAACATTTAAAGTATTGAAAACTGGCAGATGTAATTTAGATCTATTTCAAGATGTATTCATATAGATTGCTTATAATAAAAACTTGAACGATGTACAGAATTTAACCAATTTCGACCATAATGGCAATTCAAAATGTGAATTTTGTACATAAATGTACAAAAACTTTGGGCTCTGCGGGATTCGAACCTGCGTTTTCCGGGTAATGAGCACAGACGCTTTACCACCTAAGCTGAGCGACCGACGACCTAAATGCGTGTATATATTGACATCTATGCACCTTTTATATTGTACTACTGTCTGGCGCCATCTATTCTGGCAAACTCGAAAAGTACTAAAGAAATTTTTTGATAACAATAAAAGATTTGATTGATTTATTGCAATATAAATTTTGACTGATAGGTGTGCTAAGGTGAAGTAATTAGGCGATCGTCTTTCCTAAATACAACGAAGGAAAAAAAACGTATTATTGACTTTCGATAGTTTCATTTGCTCTGCCCTATCCCGCGTTACTGTAATGGATCCAAATGAAGCTCACGTGTGTGCTTTTCGTGAAGAGACCGTACCATTTCAACCACTTGTGTTTCATCCCATACAATATCGTATATTTTATAGAGGCCCACTGTTTCAACACCATCTCTTTTGTGATACACGTACACATTAGTTAAAGCTATGTTAGGAGGCGGGAAACGGGACATGATTGTGCTATTCGTATATCGGTGTTGCCTTGTGAAGAAAAGTTCTTTTTTTCTAACGGAAGTTTATATAAAATGACTATATGATGCTTAATATTTAACGAAACTAATTCAAGATGAAGTACAACATAATATTTAAATTCCTTTATAGGCATTACCATATTACCTGCAGGAGACTTATTGTGCTTGTGAATGTGTAGTAATGTATGTATGAGGTTAGTGAAACTATAAATAATACAGAATTATATATAATATATAATCTATGCTATATTTGGTGTTAGTGCCTCGCTTTCCTTCACAAGTACGCTACAAATAAAATAGAAGATTTCCAAAAATGAAAAATAAATGAGTGAACCAAATAGCACAACCAACCACAAACCAACAGAAACACGCAATAATCATGGTCTAACTCGGAATCTTATCGATTTATTACGCAATAAACTATAATTAGGCAACTAAAATAAGTATAATTATATTTAGAAGAGAAAAAAATCGTTACGAACCTTACAAATTAAAGACCTAACTTCTTAGATCTATTGTAAGTTTTAATAGGCGCCTTCATTGGCCAAACTCACAACTAAAAACATGACGTATCTGATAGCATCGCTCCGGGAATTGCCAAGAATGCCCAGTGCAAATTCCCGCGATTGAATAGTCAAATTAATTATCTGTGTATCACAAATATACTTATGTCAAAAATATAACGCACCAAAGGCATTGATGGCTATTCCGACAAGTTAAGAATACATAATGGGTAAGTAAAACGCGATATCCTCACACCATTACCCCCAGTCACTACACAGTACGAACGCTAGAGATATTTTAACTTTAGTGCGACCTTCGTACTTATAAAACACATCCGAAGCCCTCGGCCATACATTTTGAGTCACAGATTAAAAATGTCATATTTACATGCGCCCAAAATTAAGATATCCCACAGTGATTATCGATATACAAGAGTTAAGCGTAGAGAAGACTTGACAGCAGAAGTAGAAGAAGCCGTGATAGAATTTAGATGTAAGAAATGTGTTAATGACTGGAGGCTACGCTATTATAATTAGGGCACCGGCAGCTTAGACATTTGTTTAAAGCCAAGGGGAAATACGCAAATCGATATTCTTAAGTTCAACGAAGGGCAAACGATAAAAACTCTTCCGCTGCTGACGCGATACTGACTTAAGATAATAAATTCGAATTAAAAAAAAATTATACTTCGTGGATGATTAGTTTTATCGTGGTATGTGTGCAGACGACGGAAGAGCTCTTACTGTCGGCCTAACAAAACCATTGTACCGGGAGTATAAAGCTTTTTACCGTGTACAATTTGTATTAAACATTGACATACCCGGCCGCTATGGTATCCGCCCGCGCTGTGCTATGGAAATGCTGCTCTAACAAAAGACGACGCCCGAACATGCATGTACCAACGCAAGCGATCCATGCCCAACCCACTGTACTCGTTAATTCGATATTAATAGACTAACGCCCGCTTACTGAAACACTGATCATCGCAGAAATTAACTAATCAGCTGTGAAATGGCTACTCAAATGTCATTTGAGTTGCCAAAAGGATGGTTAACTTTTTGTAATCATTTTGTGATCAATTCAAAGAATTTAACCATACTTTTGGCAACTCAAATGGCACTTGTGAAGCCATTTGACAGTTGATTAGTTAATTTCTGCGATGATCAGTGTCCCAGAAACCGGGCGTAAAACGAAGTATGAAAAATTTTGGAAATATATAAATAATACGCATACGTGCACGCGAGTTTCCCGTAAACACAACCCGTTCGGATACAACATATTACACTCGGTCGTATTAAAACACAGTATTGCATTGCGTACGCCGCGTAGAAATCAAATGCGCCCGAATGAAGCTGAGTTTGACATCAACGTCGTTGGCTAGTCGTACTACACATCTAGTGGGTACATCTAGTGGGAGCGAGACGGGAAGCTATTTGTACTGCAGCGCGAAAGGGAGAACAATACCCTCCAAGCATTTCGAATAACTACGCAAGGATTTTTACGAGGTTCGATGGCGCATTTGAGTTTTCCGCGTACTATTAACTAAGACTAGAGCTAATTGTAACTTTGACAACTAGGGTGCTACCATCGTCAATGTTACAACGTTTGTAGTTTTATTAAAGGGATGACGGTACAATAATATTAGCCATAACACCATGTACTTGTGACTAAAGCCCCCATTACCTATTTGTGAATCGAGACAATGGCGACACCATAGACGATGAAGTTAACTTTATTTCATAACATCTATAGAACCATAAATACATGTTGCGAGTGTTCGACGCATTAAAATCTTCAACGGCCAAAAATTGGTCGAACACTCGACGTGTCACGGCCGCCATCTTGTTTCTAAAGAAAGGACTTCCGCCATAGATGTCAATGCGTCGAAGACTCGGCAGAAATAAATTTATTACCGATACAGACTACATTTAATGGTGTGAGGTAACGCGAAACAATGAGCCAGATGCGTTTAGATTGTTAGAAGTGAGTAGTGACGACACATTTCATACCGGTCTTCGGGGTGGACTAGGGATGTATGGAAGACTGAGGATCGACAACGGAACCAATCCAGGAAAACCTGCTAATCGTGTCGACTATGATTTGTAGGGAAACGGACAAGGAATGCTGTTCTTGATAAGAGATTTCCGTTTTTAACCAACTACAAATAAGGTAGAGGTTCTATATTCGACGCCATTTTTTAACCACGTATGTTAAATTTCTTTAAGATTGAAGATTCAACATGACACGTAAAACAAATACGTTTATACTTAATTCACGGTGAAAGTTCGGCATTAGTTTATATATTTTATATTCCATTAACGGCATATGTATAATAAAAGCGGTATTGCCATATTTCGTCGATTAAAAGAGCCTGTCATTCGAAGTAACGTATATATAACAGGTAGCTGCTAAAAAAATGTAAATGAGTCTCACACGCGTGGCAAAAACTTACAAATAATTCATATTATATAAAAAAAACAAGTACAACTTTAAAAGGCCCTAACTACAAAAAACAAACAAGAAACGTGGAATAATTATAGTAAACGCAAAAAGTGCATTGTACTCAAAAGTATCGATTTAAGTACTTAGTAAAAATGCTCCGCGAGGGAGAAAATATTAATTAAAAAACACATCAACTTTCGTTCCTCTCAGACTTTTCCGTCAGCCTTGAAGCGGTTGTCTTTTACAAATGGAATGTCTTAATAGAGAAAAAATCACAACGGCAACTTACGATATAACTCTTAAAAGCAAAGAATCTTAATTACTTGTCAATTATAAACAACCTCTGGTTCACTTGAGTTAAACTTTTAAAATACGTTTAAATTATAACAATGTTTAAAAGTCACCGTAAATTCAACAATGAACGATTTATGTAGAACTTATCTAAAATATTATCTAGCTGCAATGTATAACTGCCGATTTCATATAGTTATAGTAAATTCATTTGTATTTTTGTAAATATATCAAAAAACCACCCTCCGCGAAGGCACATTTCGGTAGAATCGCTTTTGAGCTTATTGTCATTTAAACTTACCCTGTTATAACTTGCTTACTAATTAACCTTAGTAAAAGCATCCAAAATTATTCGCCTCTTTTCTACCCTATTTTGTCGTGTAGACATCATAAAGAGCATTTTTAATATACTAGGATGATCAATAGACGACGAAATCTCGTGATCGAAAAGCCGCGCGTAAGCAACAAAATGGCGCGCAAGCAACGTAATGGCGCGAGGTTGAAAATGGCGCGAAGATTATAAAAACGACGCGAGTCTCGATGGCGCTAAGGGTGATATAACTTAACAACTACCTGGACAACGGGGTAGTACCGATACGATGATCAATAGGCGACGAAATCGCGCAATCGAGAAACCGCGCGGAAGTAGACAAAATGGCGCGCGCGTTACGTAACGATGCGAATGTACGGAGATAATCTCGACGGAGCTGCCTACACGCCTGGGTAGTACGGGTAGGTGGGGAACATCGAGAGCGCCGAGAAGGGTGACGTCATCGAGGGCGGCAGCGCGGCCGAGAGGGCGGTCCCATAGCCGGCCGGCAGCGCGGTCGGGACCGCCGTAGGTAGTGCGTTCGCGTACGACAGCATAGGGCTGGTGTTCGCGTAGGAGAATATAGGGGCCGACGCTCCGTACGAGAAGACGGGGAGCGATAGGGGCGCCATCTGGGGGACGGTGTAGGGCCGCTTGGCGGGGGCCGCGTCCGCCTGGCTGAAGGCGCGCTCGTAGGTCCGTTTCGCGGGCAGCATCTGCTGGGGGAGCATCGGGAGGGGGTACGCGGGCGTCTGCGGGCGGGGGTAGGGGAGCAGCGTCATGGGGGGGCGCAGGGAGGCGAGCAGGAGGTTCTCGTGCTGGCGCGCGAGGAGGCTCTGTTGGGCGATGTGGTGCGCGAGCAGCCGGGGCGCGGGCGCCGGAGGGGGGGACAGCAACGTACCGGGCGATAGCACCTTGGGCGAGGTGGCCGGCGTCACGCCGCCGGTCAGCACCAGGTTCATGTCGTCGCCCGAGCACTGGAACACCTGCGCGCGGTAAATGGGGCGTTTTCTTTTTTTTTTAAGTGAATCTTCTGATGCGACCAAGAACACGGTCGCGTTGAACGTTCAACGCCACCGTGGTGGGGGTGTGAAAGCACTGTTGCGTTGAACGTTCAACGCTCCTGGGGTGGGGCAATAGAGAGAGACAGAGCGAGAGTGAATGCGTGGCACTCGCGAAAAAATACGAAGGTTTGAAGATTTTTAAATATTCTCCTTAAAGATCATTCCCATTAGAGAATAATTTTGATTGCAAGGGGTTTCTCAAATATAAAATATTGATCATGAACCCTCGGAATATAGAATATAGAATCTCTTGCAACATCCGTGGAGCTGAACTTACCTCAATGTAGCGTTGCTTCTTTCCGAAGGTCATGTAGCGGTGGTGCTTTTGCTGGGCGCAGAGGAAGGCGCTTGTTTCGCTGTCCATCTGTATGAAGGCCTCACCGCTGGGATGGCCCTATATGAAACGAGGCGAACGCAAACGTAATGATTTCCTGTATTACGCGAACACATTGCTGAATAAAAATATCTCTTAGAATGTATGTTTTTTTACAGGACATTTGAATTTCGAAAAATGGTTTTATTTAAAAAAAATATGTGTTAATCTATATTAATTTCTATATTATAGAATAGGAAATAATAACGCCTAAGGACTAAATATTTCTAGAATCGTCGATGTTAACCCTTACATTTAACGTGCATATTGCCTATATACATATAAGGATTAACATCGATGGTCTCTATGTACGGCTACAATCTTGCTAACTAGAAGTTTTGCCACGTGTGTGCAAATGAGAAGTAAAAAGCACTACCTGTCTTAGATTAACTCAAGGTTGAATTAGTGGTGCGTGTTGAATGTTCGATTGATCGATAAGTCATCACTTGTTTACCATGACGACCCGATTGGCGCAGTGGATAGAACACTTGGTTCAGAGGATGTGGGTTCGATCCTCACTACTGGAAAAATATTGTGTGATGGATATAGTGTTTTCCTTAAATTTTTATTATCTATAATACGAACTTATTTCCAACGTAGTATGATTAAGTACGTTTATTACCCATAGTACAAGCTTTGCTTTCGTTATACTTTGTATAAAATATATCTTGACAATATTTACTTATTATAGTGATAATTATAATAATGCAATCTCCTCACCTGTGCATTGTAGACCATGTGGACGCCTTGAACAACGATATTCTTCGCAAACTCATCCAAAAACGTAAGTATGTGCTCCACCTAAACACGACACAAAATATATAAAGCGAAAACTACAATTGTTGAAGTTATACTACTTTTGGCGTGCTTGGAAAAAAATATGCGGGTGAAATTTTTACGATGCGCGCGCACGACTGCCAAAAAGCGACATGATGAAGTTAGTTGCAAAACGACCGATTTTACGGTATTACCATGGCAACCAATAACAACGTTTAGACATTTACCTGTAATTTCAAGTTATTAAATTAAACCATCATCAATCATCAAAACTCGTCCGGGTAAGTAGGAGGAACTCACCGGCATTAAGTGGAATTATAACATTTTCGCGTTTCGTCTGGTGAATGAGGTGGCTGGAGCCCAATTTTCAAAAGGTTGTCAACGCATCTGCACTGCAACCCTCGGGTGTAACAGATGTCCATGGGCGGCGGTATTTACTCAACATCAGGTGAACCGTCTGCTCGCTTGTCAACTTTTCACATTAAGCTCAAATACCGGTGCCGGTACCAAAGAAATTGTCAATTTAAAGTGCTTACTTATCACGTGTCCATCGTGGAAAACATCATACAAAATAAAATAAAAAAATTCCGCACAGAGGAATACCTTCTGCACAAAGGTCTTTGCCTAGCGATGAGACATGAATATATAGGCTGTCACTTTACTTGTACTGCTCATCTACCAATTTTAAGTGCCGAATTATCACTTGCTCTGCGGTGAAGGAAAACTTCGTGAGGAAACCTGCATGTTTTCGAAATAATAACAAAAAATATATTTCGAAGAGGTGTGAACTGCAGCGTGGTGGACTATGCCCTGATACCCTCTGTACGGAGGAGGCCTTTGCCCAGCAGTGGGACATATATAGGCTGATACTTTACTTTAACTTTTTACTGCTCACCTGCGCCTCGTAGGGGAGTCCCCGAAGGCGGACGCAGTCCTTGGCGGTCCCCGACGTGATGACGTGCTGGGGGACCAGGGTCACCGGCAGCAGGCCCTCGGCCGGGGCGCTGGCGGCGGAGGGCGTGCCGGCGCTGCTGGCTCGGCTCTCCAGTGACCGGTTCAGCACCTGCCGGTTTCCGTTACTCATCAGCCTACGATTCAAAGAGGTACTGTCGTGCACATATTTATTAGGTAGCGTGTTCTGCGATACCTCCACATCGTAAAAACAAAACCTTTTTTAAAATTTATCTTAAGTACGGAGATGAGCACTAAAAAAATTAAACTTCAAAAACGTTTTTTTTTTATAAAGTCATTCGTTTGTCTGCTCGCGTGTACACTTTCCGTTGGGAACGGGGAGTGGTTTAAACATTTATGTGAAAGTAATTTAAATAAAACTTCTAAAAAAATGAAATCGAAAGGTACGAACGAGAAGGTTACGCTTTAAAATTCGCAATTGTTATTTTTGATAAATGACATAATTATTATTATATACGGAACCCCTAAAGCGCGTCCGCTCGCAATTGTCAGGTTTTATTAAAACTAGCTAAGCAATCTCATCATTATCAGCGGACGTAGTGTAAGAGACCTTAATATAGTTTTGATAAACATTACGCGCCAATTTAAGAAATATTTTGACGTTAAAAGTATTTATTTATAATAGTTTTTTTAGTATTTGCATAGAGGGCAGACATACAAACATTCATTTTATGACAAGAAGGAGAATAGGAGGAGATTACTTACATATGTGAGTAATCTCCTCCTATATCCAGCCATATTGCCAGCAAATGACAAAAGTAAATATCATAATAGGAGCTGAATAATAATTATACTAGTGGTTATAATCATTTCTTATTAGCGTTAAAAATATACACTACCCATTTAATCCTGCATGCATAATAGTAACAGTTATTTTTCAATGACGAAAACGGAAAAAAAACAAATCGTATAGTATCAAGTAACAAGAAAAAATAAACGTTTCTACTAATGAAATGGCGCTTACATCGGATTTCCAATCTAAATCTTCCACCGCGTAATTATCAACGCCGATTCTATGGTCTAAAGAACTATTCTAAAGAACATAGTGAGCATGGTAATTGTTTTTTTTTTAATAGATTACTTTTTTTTAAGATTAGAAATAGATAACCAGCCCAAAAGCAACCGTTAAATCTCGAGGACGTTTACACAAAAAGGAAGAAAAAGGTGGCATAATAGACGATGACGCGGTACAATAATTTCTGTTGTATTCCCTGCGTCATCCGTGTATTGACTTTGATGTCTCGTGGTCGTTTGACGCATATAAACTTTCGATCCAAGCGTGACGTAAATAGCGACCCATAAAACTAATGGAGAATATACAGAATATAAATCCTAAACGCATAAGAATTAAATACTTAAATTTAATAAAAATTTAATAATTTTGTAGCTACAAAACAGCTTCACTATTGATTTTTTGTTCTATCTGAAATAATTTTAAAATGAGAATCAACTAAAAACCCATTTCTAGTATCGATTCAGATCTAGTGAAATAATATACTATAAAGGTAGTGGAGAATTTTTTTTAGCCAGCACTTATAAAATTTGTACCGTATTCTGTGAACTTGCGTGTATTTATTATACAAATAAAACAATTGAAATAATAGAAACGAAAATCATAATAAAAATAACCTCTATCGTATTGTACCAGGAAAACATGTATGTGCGGAACTCACCGTAATGTCACAAAAGGGCAAGCTGCAGACATAAGATATAATTAAATCAGAATCGCTGAAAATTGCCATGCTCATATAATTTAATCGATTAGAACGACACTATGCATATAATCTATGGAACTGTTAAGGATACTGAGAGGACACTGTCATTTAGTGATTTTTATTACGTTTTTTAATTCTTAATTTTGATGGTTGCAAATCATCAACATTTACATTTATTTCTGCATTGAACAGAAAGCTTAACATCGCAGCGAATTATTTTTTCGTATTGAATAAGTAGCTGCCATAGTTATGCAATCGTGCATCGAAACGAATTTTAATCAAATGTAACTGAACTTTTCAAAGTCAATCTTTGACTGTTCAACATCAAAATTTCTTTATTCTAACATAGGTTTATTTTAAGCTCTTATTAAACGTCAAAAAACTCCCACAAGTTCACTAAACTAGAACTGTCGTGAATTAGATGGACAAGAAACTCGACGGTTTTGTTATCTTTTTTTTATTATACAACAAAATTATTTGAGTATAAATCACATCAAAAACCTCTTCCTGGTTCAATCGAATAAACGTTTTATTAAACGCTACAATTAAATTAAATTTGAAATGATATCATGTATCTAGCACAAGTCATCGATAGGCAAATCTGACTTGAATGGCCCGGTCGTTACGACTTATAGCGGGCAAGGGAATCTTATAAAAAAGGCGCGAGTTGGCACGCGAGCCTGTAAAGGAATTAATCGATCCATTGTTCCAACGAGTGATGTAAACAAAACCACTGTCAACAACGTGAGGTTAGGCTTGAGATAGGCAATAATTCACGCGAAGTGTGAAATATTGAGATCAAGAATAAGAGACATTATTAAGTAGGTTATCGGCCCTTATTTTTAACACCATCGTACTACTGGAATAGTGCATGATCAAGGTTAATCTACCGTCTTCCTCTAATGGGAGAAGAGGGGTGACACCCTTTGACACCCCGTTACCACACTTATCAGAGGAAAAGAAAAAAACCAAGTGTTAAGTATTTCGGCTTTCCCTGTCTACATATTGATTACGTTTTTTTATTATTATTCAATTGAAACAGCCATAAAACTAACAACCAGTAGGATAACTAAGGACTATGGAGTAGATTTACATTTATTTAAATATTTTGGTAAACCAATATTATAAGACGTTTACGATTAAATAAAAAGTATTTATCGATTCCATCGAACAGACTTATTTTGAACGACGTATTTTTAAATATTTTTGAATTTAATATTGATTGTAATTTTTGCGTTATTTCGAAACATTAATCGTAAAATTTTGTGTTATTAACAACTACTAATTTACGGAAAATTAAATATGTTTTAATTTAATAATTTCACACGTAGAATTCTACTATGTAAATATTTGACATAATTGTGCTAATATCATACATTTAACGTGTGTTGTGGTGAGCGCATGTTTCTGTGATTGTACATTCCACGTGTGTTCCGCTCTAGGTGTGCGTGTATGAGTACTTGTGCGTGTGTGCTGCGTGTGCGTGTGGACTGTGTATAACTGTCGTGTGTGACTCCGTGTACGTGGGCGTATGTGTCTGCATGTACACGCGTGTACGAGGACTGACCTGTTGCACTTCAGCGGTGGTTGACCGGAACAGCTCGATGTACCTCGCGCCGATGAGCTTCCTGTGCCTGGAGAGGGCCTTCGGCGCGTCCTCCTCCTTGGAGAAGAGAACGAACGCGTCCCCAGTCGCCCTGCCGTCGGCTCTCCGCACGAATAACACTCCCTCCAACCCGTCGAGCACTTGGACCGGGTCGTCGCCGCTCGAGAAGAAGTCCAGCTGGAGATGTGAAGGATAAAATGCCAAAAATGCACCTTACGAGATAGTTTGAAGTCTTTGCATTTTAAGATGGCAAGCGAGCTGGCGGTTCACCTGATGTTAAGTGCCGCCGCCGATCATGGACGTTTGCAACGTAGGGTTGCAGATTTGCTACATTACAACAAAGAACAAACTGGGCTCCGGCTACCTCACCCGCCAGACGAAACGCAGAAGTATAACACTTCCGCTTTACGCCGGTCTTGTGTGAGATCGTGGTACTTATCCGGACGGACCTGCCCATCCGTGCAACAGCAAAGGCTGCCCCAGCAAAGGTGTGGCCCTACCACACACGCTATCAAACAGGCTGAAACGATGCCGATGCTGGTTTCCAGGTCGCCAGTTACAGCGATCCGATTCTAGTTCTTTTGGAGGATAAATGGAAGACTCACAACTTGCTGCGGCGTCGCGTCATACGGCAGCCCCCTCATGCGCACTATGACCTGGGCGCCGCGCGATAGGAACGCGGCCGCCTCACATGTGGCTCCGCCGGCCACTGACAGGAAATCCTCGCCGCTCGCCCGGTACACCTTTAAGTGAGTTAAGTTCTTCGCTTAGCGACTTTTGCACCGATCCATCGTCCTACTGCCCTTATTCCACCTAAGCGGGGTCGGCACAGAAAGTGAATTAAGTGGTTTTTTTTATTTTTAATGTTAAAAGGTGGCAAAAGAACTGGCGGTTCACCTGATATTCATTGTTAACCAGAGCCCATGAACGTTTGCAATAACCGACAGGGCTAGGGTTGCAGATGCGTTGCCACTTTAATAAAGTGGGCCCCGGCTACCTCACTCACCAGACGAAGCGCAGAAGTGACACTTGCACTTCACGCCGGTCTTCCATGAGGTCCCGGTACTCCGGTAGGACCTGCCCATTCGTGCAACAGCGAACACTGTTGCGTGGCCCTACCTCCGTTAAAATATAAAAATTATACTCTCATATTTTAGATCTTGTACATAATATGTTCGGATTAGTTGCTGGTTTATGACGGTAAGTCACTAAGTTACGTAATAGCGAAATACTATTGGTGTAGTGTAGTTAAACAAGGACGAGCAAAGATCATTGAACGTGTAACATTTGAAATATGGTTTTGCGGACATCTCGACAGTAACTCAAAGACTGACCAAGAAAAGAATTCTTCGGATTGGTCACTTGGCCGAACAGGTTGATGCAAAGGCGAGAACGGTGTACGGATAAGGGAAGCGACTTAGATCAAGGACGATGTTAAAAGGGATGGGCTCACCTCTATGTACCGGGGGCCGATGTGGTGTTTGTGCCGCTTGAGCGCCATATCCCTATGCTCCTGGGACACGAAACGCACCAGCGCCTCGCCGTTCCGTCTCCCCTGCGGCGACAGGCACAGCGCTACGCCGCCCCTGCCAGATCAAAACGACCTTCAGTGACCTTCAAGTGTCCCCTGGGTTCTCCGCTATCAATTGTCCATCAGCGGAATAACACGGCTGACGTCACACATCGAATCGGCAAATCATGGTCTCATCCGGCTGTGATCAGATCCAGTGCATTAACAATCGAAATGGTAAATTTTCATTCATACACTTGAGATATTTACATTTTAGTTAAATACGTGAAGCAAAATCTTTGTACTCCTTTTTACGAAAATTGCGCGGACGGTGGAGTATGAAATTTCCCAAACTTAGGTATTTTATAAAGAGAAGGAGTGCAGAATGCTAATCTTTTTTTTATTATTGATAAAAAAAACATTAATTCAATAAAAGAAAATTACACACACACACTGCATGGTGGGTAGTGTTTAATCTTAGTCGTATTTCGACCACTAGGCGGCCACTAGTATTTAGAAATAGACTACACAATTTTAGAACGAATAAATCAAATAAAATGTAAATCAATTTGAAATAATTGGACTGAAAAATCGATAAAACTTCATCTTTTAACAATTTTAAGTATATTTCGTGATGACTATACTTAAGGAGCCGTTTTAGCTCATTGTCCGCTCGCTTTTAATTGCAGAGTTTAAATCCAGGTGAAATTCTTAATTTTAAGTGCTGAGTTATTACGTGCTTAGGCGAAGGATAACATCGTGAGATAATCTAAATATTTTCGAAATAATAAAAATAATAAAATATTTTAAACATATCTGAACATATTCGCCAATACGCAGTGGATTCGTGTCGACTATGCCCTAATACCCTGAGTACAGAGGTGGCCTTTGCCTAGAATATAGAACATATAAAGACTGAACATATAGACTTGTATTTTATTTTCTTAACTACTCAGGAGCCTAATTCGGTAGTAATATAATTGGTTTATATTCTAAATACATTTATATTTTCTTAAGACTTACTTGGCGACATTTAGACCTCTGAAGAATTTGGCGATGTCCTGGTCTGACGACTGCCAAGGTAGACCTCGGGCGCGCACGATGCAGTTACCGTCTATCTCATCGTCCTTTGAGCTGAAACAAAGGAAATGAAGGAATTACTTATAAATCTATAAATAAACTCGCGCACGAAGGGTTCTGTACAATTAACTATAAAAACAGCAAATAAAATCATGTCTGGTGTATGCGGCCCCACGTAAATATAATATTCTTTTCTCTTTTTTTTATATTTATTTGTGTTATAACGGCAACAGAAATACATAAACAGTGAAAATTTCAACTGTCTGACTATCACGGTTCATGACATAGTCTGGTAACGGATGAACTGACAGACAGCGGGTTATTAGTAATAGGGTCTCCTTTGACAGCTTTGGTATGGAATCCTAAAAATCATGTCTATGATCAGCCGATTTATTAGATCTGCACATATATCAAGCTGTTGTCGATGTCTCCTGCAATAACATATGCAGAATATAAAGTCTGATCAAATCTGAGAAGGTAGCGTCGATCACGATTTAGGTTTTTTTATGTTTGAAGGAGGCAAGCGAGCGGCGAGGTTTCGATTATTCGTGCAACAGCAGTGAAAACTGTTGTGGGGCCCTACCACAGCTAAGATGATATGTTAGTCACTTATGGACATCCGCTATACCATGACGCAGATGTGTGTACCTTCAAGAATGTACGTTCAAGAGTGTACCTTATAACCAGACGAAACGCTGTAAACGAATATAGTAAATAAATATTTCTATCTAATGCCGGTATTTCATATAATCGCGGTATTTCCCTGATTTAGACAGCTACTGTAAGTGCAATAGAACAGCCATAGCTTCGACACTATAAAGTGAAATACACTAAAAAGTGAAATATCACAAACTCAAAAGCATTCATCTATGAAATATGATTCAAAGTACAATCTCTTACCGTTTTTGTTCATAGAAAAACTATTAAGCATATTTCAAAAGGTGATAATTTTTTTAAATATCTCAAGATTAGGACAGACAATCAAGCATTTATTTATTCATCTTTTATTGCAATTATCCTAAAATAGGGTTACAAAGGGAAAAGATAACCCGGGAGCGTGGAGATTGGGGTTGGTGTAACAATTATATTACTTGTATTTACACTAGTGGACGCCAAGTGGTCGAAATTCGACCATAATTAATTTAAATTATAAGTTTGAACAATATTAATCTATTCTCGAATACAATACACAATAAACAAAAGAGTTTGCGTTTCAAATACATGGTAGTATGTGTAATGTTTTCTTTATTGATTTAATGTATTTTTATGCATAATAAAAAATAAAAAAAAGATTAGTATTCTGCACTCCTTCTCTATTAAAACTATTAAGTGTCGGAAATTTCAATTTCCTCCGTCCGGGCAATTTTCGTAAAAATTAATACGTAAATCAAAAACTTTGTATACCAAGTTTTTGCTTCACGTATTAATATATAGATAATATAATAATTTACTGTATATAATAAGTACTGGCATACATACATATAATGCAATAAAGATACATAAACGTATTACTATACCATATATTACATTCATATACACAGATAAATGGTAGTGGCACAATGATAACACTTAAAATTCTAGCTTATGGTTGCTTTAAGTAAAAGTCATGGACATTATCTAATGTTTAAAAATTCTATCACGGTAACGTTTAAATTCGAAGTAAAAACAAAAGATTATAGCTGTTCTTTCAGAATTGACGAATTCTATTTTAGAATTAATGATAGTTCAACATGCAAATAATTACGTTATCTCGTGATACTTTAGCCAATGTTCTATTGAACTCGACAATTCAAGTTAAAGGACTGTTGGACTAAAGATGTTATACCAATTATGACAAGAAATATTTACCGATATGCTGTTATCACAGAATAGTACCGATTGTGTACTAACAATAGGCAATAACAACGCGATGAAGAATTGTAAGGGCCGGGGCACACCCACCTTTTACATATGAAATGTCTACAATAACGCTCAAATGACGCTCGCTGAATTCAAGCTAGGTTTCTCAAACGCCATAATTACACATTCAAATCTCGTTTTGCATAAAATAATCGAAATAAGAAAAGATTAAAAATAAGGTTATTTGAAAACGAAACATGTACTGATATAAAATAAAAGAAGTTATTAAAAGGTTTGCATTAAGAAATGGGTAAGAGAAAGTTCTTGCTTTCAGCCTAAAAAAGACATTAAAGCTAACCGAAGTAATGTCGAACTTACTTTATTAAATTTAGGCCTGTTTCAAACGCTTATACACCTCAGAAACTATTCTACACTACTAGTAGTAATCTATATAAGCCCAAGGAAAATTCACATTAAATCCAAGAAACTCAGTCAAAGAAATAGTATTCGTATCATTTGCCAACAAAACCTGTTAGCATAAAATCAGCCAAAATACAAACTAACGCCCGGTTTCTGAAACACTGATGACAAAAGGATGGTTAAACTCTCTGAATTGATCAGAATGATCACTTCAAAGAGTTTAACTATCCTTTTGGCAACTGAAATGACATTTGAAAATCCATTTGACAGCTGATCAGTTAACATCTACGATGATCAGTGTTTCAGAAACCGGGCGTAAGTCATTTATCCATATACATCGTTTTTAGCTGTTTTCCTTGTATTATTGTTTCAAGGGTTGTTTTACAAGAACTTTTAAAATAATAGCTGTAATATCGATGTTTGAGTTTCCATTTATTGTAATACATGCCAGTTAAACCCATAACTCTATTAGTTTTAAACAAAATAAAAAAGAATTTTGCCAAGATTATATTAAAAATCAAAATTTTGTAATAACAGCAATATCTACAAGTATGTTAAAAGATCACAACCTCTTAAGTTATTTCAACAAGAAAAATTAATATTTCAGTTTTGATGGCAGGCGATTAAAAGAACATAGTCTATATAGATAGACCTCAAGTAAGTTAGTGATAGAAATTTATCAAATTAAAATAAAAATCGACAATTTTCTTTATCAAATCGCTATTAAATAAACATGGAATAGACATAAGCTCTGTATGCTTTATTACAAAAGCAGTCGTGGTTCTGCGTACATAAAATACATAAAAGACGTCGTGGAACACCGATAAAAACTCCGCGTGGATTGTAACACTAATTTCTTCAAACACGTAATCATTTCAGATTGGAATAACTCGGAAGTTAGTAATATAATACAATATGTAGATATACATAATATATTTGATTATTTTAAATAAGGTTAATATGTATATAAATAAACGAATAAAAAAACCTCATCACACAATACAATGACATTGCTTTGGAAACACACGATTTTCGATAGCAGGATGATTCTGTGACGCATTTCCATCGCTACTGTGATGATGAATGATATTTTAATAAAGATGACGCATAATGTTCATACTGCGGGGCGTTTAAAAATTGTTCCGCTTTACATTATACGACATATATATGTGAATGTCACAGATGATACGTAGAATGTATGATTCGGAAGGAGATAGCGGTCTATAGAATTGCAATCTAATTACACAGATTGGTGTAATTTGAGTTCCTCAGTTTCGGTGCGCTAGTATCTAATCTACCTCGTATTTACATGATATTTTCTCATTACATGGTAATGAGTAAATTTTATTGTCATCAAATCCTACCGACGTATTCTTATTGTGAATAGTATTCGATGTCTTAAGCGGCAGATCATGGAGTTTTCATTTGCAATCGGCAAAATTCCATTTTTAAAACATATAAACTCTTTAGAGTAGTTTCGTTAGTAGGACTTAGGGTTACTTAGGACAGTGAATAAATTTTTATTTTTATATATTCGGTGAAATAAAATGAGAACTTGCGAAAATATCTCCCAAGTTCAATTTTAAATGGATATATTTTTATGTAAGAAGATGGCAAGCGCACTGGCGGTTCACCTGATGTTAAGTGATAATCGCCATGAACATTTACAACACCGTGTACCCTACACGGCAGATGTTATTCAAGAGGGTCACAGTTACCTCGCTGAAAGCGCAACTCAGAGGTATAAACCTTCCACTCCATTCCGATATTCTGTGAGGTCGTGGTATTTCTCAGACGGACCTGCCCATTCGTGCGACAGCCAAAACTTGCGTGGCCCGAGCACAGTTTAATTGTAACTACAAACTATACTGTACACATATCGATGTATCCGGACTAGGCATAGGTCCCTATTTAATCTCGGGCAGTTATCTAAGTTCAAAGTCAAAAGAACACAATGTTAGCATTCCTAGCGGCGCTATAAGTAAACGCCTTAGAAAAGTTCCACTGAGGTCATATTGACAACACTTAAGATAACGCAATCAGTTAGTCTTTGACATTGAATGAGTTTGATTCGAAATGAAATAAATTTATAGCCATGGCTGGACGAATTATTAATATGGAGGACGGTGGTTTACCTATAGTAATACCATGCAACAGTCTTTGTTTGTTGTACGAATGCGCAGGTCCGTCCGTGTAAGCACCACGACCTCACAGAAGACCGGCGTGGTGTGGAATAGATATAATTCTGCGTTTCGTCTGGTGAGTGAGGGGCCCTTTTAATCCAAAGGTGGCAACGCATCTGCAACATTAGAGCTGTTGCAAATGTTAATGGGCGGCGGTGGTCACTTAACATCATGTAAATCACAATCTCGCTTGCTACCTTCTCGCATAAAAAACGACGGTGGTAAACAACTAGACGGCGATACTGCTGCCCGTGGTTGTTCGTAAAACTCAAAGGGTAGATGCGTTGACAAACTATTAGAAAGAGCTAGCTAGCATAGGTTATCTCACCAGAAGTAATTACTACCATACTTTGCGTCTGTCATGCGGAGTCTCTGTAACAGACGAGTCGGGATTTTGGTCTACACACACTGTTTCATCGCAAGTGATCAATTATTATTATAAAGTAAACACCCTACTGATCTAACCGAAGGTTATTTGAAGTTAATTATTACTCTAAGGGCAACATAATACTGCTGATAACGGGCTCATCTTTGGTAAGCGAAGGATGGGAAATGTTTCCTACGAGAACTGACCACGTTCATAACTGATTTCCCACGAATTGATTACTATTT